AGGGAAATTAATTTTGTTACACGTTCAAGTTACAGTTTTCTCTTTATATACACACACCCAACTACACAATATAATAAAGACAAAAAATAAGAATATGGGGGGACTGTTGTTTACACGGGTCCTCTTTAACCCTTAAAAGTAAGACACTTCAGGTATGAACGTATCACCATGAGAATGTAACAACACAAAGGTCATATAACTTGCTTAACCGCCAACTGTTTGGATGCACGGATTTTGATAAGTTTACAAAGCTAAGACAGTTGCTGAGAAAAGTTCCACATTCTGCACTGCGAACCGCTGTCTGCTTCTCTGACATAGCTATTAGTGTGTCATAAAAAAAAAATTAAGAAAAGCTGAGTTTCTTTCTTTTGTTTTTATAATGTGGAATCTAAGTCCTGCAGTCATTGCACAACTCCAAAAAGATACCCTTGTAGCTTTTCACCCTCCTCCGAAATAACATGGCCCAAACAACAAACTTATTTCTGCACCTACTAAAATTTGTATTACTAGTTTATACTTTCCTTTGCTTCACATTCTAGCAGATATTGTTTTATCCTTGGCCTGTATTAGGAACTATTTCAGCTAAATCTATAGTTGTCAACAGTCTTGCATCAATTATTCCTGTAGACCACAAAGCATTTGGAATATCTTTGAAATCATTTTCATCAAATTGTGATAGCAAAGAATGCTGAGTTATTTTATCTCATGCTAAATCTTGGACCCAAGCTTCTGACAGACAGAATTTTATAAGGCTGCTTCCATAGTTCTGTGTTAGGGCTATAGAACCAGCCTGGTTTGTGTGGTGCCGACATAGATAGAAATCAGATGCGCCTTCTGCAGCTTCTAAACGCAGGCATCTGTCTCTCCACTGTGCTTCACTGGTCTTAACCAATGACAAATGATTTACCCATGATAAGCAGTACATTCCTTACATCTGTGTAATAACAGTAACTGCTGCTAAGAACCCCCATCTATGTACATAATTTGTGTAGCCATTATAGTAATGTCTTGTTTCAGAAACTTGTTTTGCACAAATTCAAAGTGTTCTACTGTTCAACTAACAGACTTTCATCCAGTGGATCTGACAATGTGCTTCTAGCATAGTGTATATTAGACACAAGTAGATTTTGTTGAAACGCTATTTATATGTTCCACACATTCAGCCTTCATGCCCCCCTGTTTGGGAAAAATTGCTTAATTTTCCCATCAATTCCCGTCCTAACAGATTAATGGGGTGAGTTGGTGATATTACTACAGAAACATAGAACCTTGCAATCTTTTTCCAGTTTGAAGGTTTTCTATTTTTAAAGGTATTCCATTTGACCATTTGCTGATTTTACAAAAACTAGCATTTTAGATGGTTTTAGTCCTACATTATCTTGAATGCAAATTTTACAGGCTCCTGAATTGCATATAAGTCTAACTGCTTGTCTAATAATTGTTAAAACTATTCATGTTTTTGCCTTTAATGCATTTAATATCCCCCATGCTTCATACACGTCTACTATTTTAATGTCTCCCCCATTTGCTCAAACACCCATTCACACTCAGATGAAGAACTTCCCCTTGCAGCATAACATCTTTTTACTACTACCCCTTGAATGTTTAAATGCCAGTATGTTTTTTCTGATGTGTTTAAAAAAAGAAAGGAAATTCACTGGGTCCATAATTAACTGCAATTTCTGCTGGTGCACATGACTCCTGGCGTCAGTGCTGGTCAGTGTTGGTGACAGGGAGGGTCACTCTGTGGGGGTCTGGACATTCTCGAGCAAAGTGGCCCTCCTTATCACAGTTGTAGCACCTATTGTGTTTTCTACGTGACCCCTTGTTTTTCCCCTGTGACCACCGGCCCCCCCTGTGGCCTCCCTTGAGCCCAATTATGGTCCAAACTTTGCTTCATAGCTGTTTCTATGTTTTAGCTTGCGCAATCCACCTATTTAATCCCTCTAATTTTTTTATTGCCTGTATGTAGCTTGCATGACTAAAATAATTTTCTTGTGGGTTATTAATTTAAAATTTTGGTTCCGAAATTATAGTTGTGGAGACCCTGCAGACGCATTAGGAAGGCTGTCAATCGGAACAATGCTGCAGTCATCGCTCCACTGACATCCCCCTCTGCGCGCTTATGCAGATTTAAGCTGTCTCCTTCTAAACTGTGTTTCATTATTTTTTGGACACACAAACAACTTAAAAGACCCACAAACATAACTTTAAAGACAGAAACACATAATATTAAAACCGGACAAACAAAACATTAGATCTATTTATTTAGGTTTTCATCGTATCTGCTTTGTGCATGTATCATACTCTAACTTCCACTCCTAGAAGTATTTTAAATTACTTGGATCAATCTGACACAAATTTTACATCCCCTTTATGATCTTCTCTATACTCTTCCCTGAACCCATCCTTTTTAATTCTTTTACCTCCCTGACTCACTTTAGTTCTATAATTTTATCCTTTAGTTCTTATTATTTTATCTTGGAATAGAGGCGTCCCTCAAACCCATATTTTTTCCAAACTATATATTCAAGTGATTATTTTTTTATTTATTTTTTTGTTGGATCCTGCACTTCTACAACTTCTAATCGTAGATTCTAAATTATCTCTAATTTATTTTGACCTTTTCCCATTTTAAAGAATTTAGTCCAGTACAAACACCTAGGGTATTCTACGCACTGGATGTTTATTCAGCAGGACAGCACCCAAACACTGTTGTGGTAATTTCTGCTTCTACCTTTTCAGGTGAGAAATTCTTGCCTCTGCATCCACAAGAGTTATACTGTATTAATTCCTGCTGTTTTAGTATGAAACAATCGAACCCAACGGTTCGATTGTTTCCTCACACACTTTCACACAGTCACACACACCTATTCTAAGGCCTAATATATATTTTTTATTTTAACCAACATAGACAAAAAAAAACATTTATCGTGTACACTTTGGAGTCTCCAGCTCCAGGCCCTCGCACGCACCAGATACCCAGATCCCAGATCTGACAACAAAACTTGGCTTCGTCAAATATCCCTGCTGCAGCTACAAACCTTACTTAGCTGTGTTCTTATCTTAAAAGAACACAGAGGGCCTCCCGGGTTTTCAGCACCAAAAATGTTACGTTCAAAATTGTAGGTTTATGATAAAAAGAAACTGAGTCCACACAGAATAGGGATTTTGTCAACCTCTGGAGTAGGGGAGAGAAGCTGCTGGCTCAGAAACAGCACCCTCTCTCACAGATTCCTTCACAGCAAAGCCTTTTATTAACAGTTTACAACATAATAGAGCGGGTCTTAAACAGAAAACCCAGTAATGATTGAATCCCAGCAGCATGCAACCGTGTGACTTTGCCTCATGACCTAATGATTGAATCACAGGATAGCAGGATGCAGGTCACAAAAGTCTACGACCCTCCTGATTGAATCACAGCACAGAAATGTAGCATAATTTTATAATCATAACTCTAACAGAGTCTGCTGTCCGAGTTAATGCGTAAGTTTATATGAAGACGATCGTAATCATGATAACATTATGGGGAAAACTACTTTATTGCTTCAACGGTAATTTATCAATGTATTCTATTTAGGTATTGACCCACCGGGATGAAGCACACCTGGCAGCAGGTGAAAATGAAATACAAAAATGTAGTTCAAACAGGTAGGAGCTGTTCATCATCTCACGGGGTTCCTCCTCATTTTAAATTTGTGTTACATTACACAGTAAATACTAAATGGATATTTGACTATGCTTTTTTAAATTTCCTTTTTTCATCACACACTTTGTGCTCTCACTGATATCGAGTTCTAGGAATGGAAATGATCAAAACTATCAGACCTCTTCAGTGAACACAAAGAAGGCCGATGCCTGTAAAGCCGGTGGTGGTTGTTCACCACCTCCACCACTAACCAAGGCAGAGGAGCCTGAATGCAGGAAGGCCAGATGCTGAGGGAATCCCTGGTGGGAGCTCATCCTGATAGACCTCCTTCCAAGACACAGGTGTGGGATGCCTCAAATTCTACTAGAGGGCCTCACATTCTGTTCCTCCTCAATGTCTTTCAGTTTTTGGTTTGTTTGTTTCAGCAGAGATCAAATTCATTTATTCCATTTATACAAGAGTTCAACAGCTGTCACCTAAAGCGACTTAAGAAAAACATGTCATTAACATGAAATAATTCAAGACAGATTTATTGTCCGTTAGTAAAAAATCCACTATGATCCATGTAGCATTTAACTACAGTTTATTCTCTTTATGAACTGCTTTGCAATTTGTCTTCCTCCTGAAACTGTTTATAGTTGCTATAAATGATGCCATACAGGAGATTATAATAATTCAAAGGCTGATTCCAGTCTGTTTCCCTGATTGTATTTTAAAAGTTAGAACAGACTCTGGATTATTATTAGTCATATTTCATGAAAAAAAGAATGGGAACTGTTTTTGCTGAGCGTTTTCACAACAATATCATATTAAGGTCTGACATCCCTGAACACAACTTGTAGCTTTGATTGATTTATTCAGATCTATTAGTTAAAAGCAGATCTTTGATCAGTGTGACCTGAAATCATAGGGAAACAAAGGCTACAAGAAGTTTTCATTCATCTACTGTTTTCTAGTGGAGCAGATCTTTAGCCCCACATCAGTCTGTTGGGGACATCATGGAGGTTCTGTCTGCAGAACAATAATAATTTCTTTTGTTACATGGACTTAACATGTGATGTGCTTTGACCAATGACAGATTAATACTTTAAGATTTCTAATCCAAGCTAAAAAAGCTGAAAGGAAACCCAACAGAAAATCCATGTCCCAGACATGCAGCTACACCTAAACTATCTGGTTGTTCTTCTGACAAGCTGGAAGATAAAAGTTGATTCACATTAAGACAGCACTTCCTTTTCTAAGTGGCAGACAGTTTAATTATGATTTCATATACAAATGCAATAAGAAGAAAATGAAGCTGAACACATTTTAGAGTCAGAAAATACTTTAGATAATCTATTTTTAAACCAGAGAAGCTGTGAGTCTGTTAATCAGGAGGAAGAGGAGCTGAGAGCTTCAGGGAGGAGCTGAGCTGTTACTGAACTATAGAAGAGACACAAACTTCCACATTCAACACAGTTCAAACATTAACTCTGATCATCATGCTGTCTTTGCTCACATCTGGATTTACTCTGCTGGTTCTGCTTATAGGAACAGGTTAGTTGGAGTCTTTCAGAGAACTATGTGATCCTTGTTGTTCTTCATTTATTTTATTTTCTTCCTTCAGGTGTAAACTGCCAACAACTCACTGCAGCAAAGACTGAAGAGTTCAGTCTAGAAGGCAGCTCTGTTACTCTGTCCTACAGTTACTCCAACAAGATAGCTAGTGATGATTATTTCTTCTGGTATCGACAATATCCAGGAAAACCTCCAGAGTTCATCATGTACATCTCAGGGCTCAACATTGTGAAATCAGCAGATAATCTGAAATCAGCATCAAGATTCTCCACTAAACTGAGAGAAGAGAAACGCCTGGACCTGCTGATCTCCTCTGCTGCAGTGACTGACTCTGCTGTGTACTACTGTGCTGTGAGGCCCACAGTGACAGGAAACACCAGAACTCTGTACAAGAACCTGCAATACTCCACAGCATCCACTAGAGGGCCTCACACACTGTTCCTCCTCTATGGTTTGTTAGGATTCAGTCTGATTGTTTGTGCAGCTGAGAATAAAGCAGACATCAGAGTGTTTGCTGCATCATTGAACTCTTTATGATAGAAAGGTTTGGATCATAAAGGAGGGATGATGGAGGCTCCAGGATGGAGGTGCAGCCTCTGCAGGACATCAGCACCATGGACAGAGTTCTGTTTCACCATCTAGATGTGTTTCAGTCCAGTTCTGTCCTGCTGTCAGACCACTGATCTTCTACACAGAGATTTATGTCCACAGGCTAAAACCTCATGATGCATTCAGGTACACTGAATGATGCATTAAAGCACGTATTCAGAGAAAATATATTTAAAAATAATCGTCTAAATACTCACACTAAAATTTCTCCCTATTTTCAATTACCTGATTTCTAAGGTTTATTTCTTTGCTATTGTTTTTTTTCTGATGTTCTGTAGAATTTATATTCTTGACTCTGTGTAATTTATTTAGACAATTACTTCTTTTCAAATCAATTCTAAATGAAAGCTTATGGTATAGCTAATAATAGGACATTTATTAAATAAATCATAGGGTGGAGCTGGCAGTTAAGCACCATGGACAGCAGTAGCAAAGAGTCCAGCTGGACATTAGCCGTCTTTTCTGCTACTGATTCTAATATTTGTATTTTCATTGTTTTCTAGGATTTATTTGCAGCATTTGATAAACTGGAGGATAAAATTATGTTATCCAGTGAACAATACCAGTCTGGTTTAGGTCATACCTGAGAGAATAGTTTCCAGTGTGGTCCTGTTTCTCTGACTGTGACTAACTGGATGTGCTCTCTTCATCCTCTGACATGGGAGCTGGCTCGGAGCTCGTCTGCCTGGCTGTGTGTTTCCTGGACGGGGCCGCCTGTGGAGCTGGTTGACAGTTGCCTTTTTTATCCATGCTTCTTTTTCTATGTCTGCTTCTGTCTCCTTGAACCCCAGTCGGCCTCAGCAGATGGCCGCTCACACTGAGCCTGGTTCTGCTGGAGGTTTCTTCCTGTTTTTCCTCTCCACTGTTGCTACAAGCATGTTAAGTGTAAGGAATTGCTGGAGACAAAATTCATGCAAAACCTTTGCCACTAGTTCATTAATGAGGATCATGTCCTGTAAATCAATGACTTGACCCAATAAACTGTTTCCTTGATATAATTTTTTTAACCAATCTGATTCTATCGTCTCTGTAAGGGGCCTTGACATGACATGTGTTGCTAAATGGTGCTAAATAAACTGAATGGAATTAAATACATTTATGTGTAGATCCGGGAGACTTCAAGTCCACAACTGGATCAGATGTGGGCTCAGGGTTATTCCTCTTTTTTCTCTTCTTTAGCTACTCCTGGTTGGATTGTTTTTACCTCTTACACCCTAAGGGGGTATAAATAAATTTCTGCCTGACAAAAACACACAAAAGTAAATAACTTATAGCCTCAAAGCTATTAGATTTAAGAAGAAACTTTTGGTACGTCTGTAAAGGTAAGATGTCATAGAATGGTTTTCTGGTGTCAGCACCATTGTAGCTTTGACCCTGTCTGAAATATTATGGACAAAATACAAAATATTTTGCATTTTTTGAACCTCGCCAAAATTTTCTTTGAAATAAACATTGCAAAACACTACCAAAATATTATTTATAGCACAAAAAAGTAGTACAGACTTTCAAATCTAAATGTTGTGTAAAAATATACCAAATTTGCACTCAATCAGATGAATCATATTTATTTTAGAATGGTATTAGTGAGAAATTTCTTAGGCGGAGAGGCCATTTTGGCACATTTATCCATAAATGACACCAAACTGTGCCAAATATGTTTTTTACATCAATACTGGGGGTTTGGTAAAATTACGAGGTCACGTAGCAGCTGGACCCGCCGGTGGGTCCGTAGGGTTCAAGGGGTTAAATCCTGGTTTGTCTTTTCATGTTGATGCAGATGACTGCCAAATATTTGTATTACTTAGGGGCAACGCAACCTTTGTTGGACTCATCCAAAGTTTTTTTTTTCATGAGCTAAAGATGTGCATGTTTTTTTTTAATCTTTTAGATTTTAACAATTAAAAAGTGTTTTATTTCTGTTACAATACAGCTATTGAGAAACAACCAATTCCAATATTGACCCGATTTGACATCAGAATGGATCATTCATACTTCCATTTTCTTACATGCTTATTCCAAAGCAGGGTCACGAGGGGCGCCTATCTCCAGCTGTCTACTGGTGAGAGGCAGGCTGGTCGCCAGCCCATCGCAGGGCAACATAGAGACAAACAGGACAGACAACCATTCACACTCACACCTAAGGAGAATCTAAAAAAGCCAATTAACCTAACAATCATGTTTTTGGACCGTGAGAGGAAGCTGGAGTACCCGGAGAGAACCCACGCATGCTCAAGGAGAAAATGCAAACTCCATGCAGAAAGACCCCAGCTGGGAATCGAACCCAGAACCTTCTTGCTGCAAGGCACCAGGAGGCAGTGCTACCCACTGTTCCACTGAGCAGCCCTCATTCACACTTACGAAATATATTTTTTGGGTTTGAAATGTTAGAAAAGGTTTGGTGAGATCAATTACTCAAAGAGCGAATAATAGTCAACAAGAATAAGTATGTGAATAATTGACTCATTTTTATTAACCAACATTTTACAGAAGTAATGTTCTTGTCCACATGTTCATCCTGAGTCTAAGACCAACGACTAAGGAGACTTAGGATGACAGAGAGGAGACAGGAGCAGCTGGATATCAGTTGGAGAACACTGTCAGAGAGAGTACCAGAAGCAGACTGAAGATGACTTTTCGTTATCTCCCTTTAATCTCCTCTTTCTTTCATCTTTTCTCCTTTTTCCTGTTTTTCCTTTCCTGTTCTACTTACAATGCAGCGTCCATATAATCTGTAATACTAACTGCATGAATTATAATAAAGCTATTTATAAACATAAATCAATATATAGCCGTACTGCTCCACTTGTAAAAGCAAAATTTTTTGTGCTCTATTTTTGGCATGAAGGCAATTATTCCTATCATCACATTGCAAGACAAGACACTGTTTAAAAAAATAAATAATTAAATAAAAGAGTTCCAGAAGTGAAACAGTACGTAGAAACAGTCCAAGATCAGAGCAAAAACCACTCCTTTGTCAGATGAACTTAAGACAGAACAGATGTTCTGAGAAAGATTAGGCCTCTTTTCTCTCTGAAATTGAGCTTAAAGCTGGAAACACAAATTTCTTTGAAGAATCAGTTTGTCTGACCCACTAACCAGCTGCTGGAAGCCTTTCCCTGCATTGTTCAACTCCACCTTCTAGCTCCAGCAGAGGGCGCCATCATCCAGTAGGCGGAGCTCTCCTTGTGCTCTGTGTTCCAGCATTGTGTCAATAATAAGTGTTGCTGTGAAGAGAACAATAGTCAGACTGAATGTTGAACATCAGCTAGTTTCTCCTGCTGATTTAAACCTTGTTGGACAGATGGAACATTGGCTGTGGATTATTCTAGCTGCTCTTTTCTTTGGTAAGATAGAAAGCTCAACATGTTTCCTCTTCAAACACTTGAACACATTACTGAGCTCTACATGAAGAGCTTTAATGTTCATTCTACAGAAAATCAGAGCAGATCATTTCTGCTGCCATTTGTTACCTTGTAGAAACACCTGATATGGTTCAAAGTGACAATGATCAGAGAAAATGACATCTATTCTACATGGAATAGAAGTCTTTAAAGCTGCTGATTGTTCTCCTTTAATCAATCATCTTTATTGATTCATCTCTTCCTCTGCATGTTCTGTTCTTCCTCAGAGTGTAAAGGAGACTCAGTGACGCAGACAGAAGGACATGTTGCTGCTGCTCAAGGAGAATCTGTCACTCTGGGATGTATTTTTGAAATAAGCGCTTATTCAAATGCTTATCTGTTCTGGTATAAGCAAACAGAAAATAGTTTCCCAAAGTACATTCTGAAGCAAGTGACATCAGCCATATATAAAGCTCCAGAGTTCAACAATGGAAGATTTGATGTAGACTTCAACAGTGATGAGAAATCCTTTAATCTGACGATCCAGGATCTCCGTCTGTCAGACTCTGCTGTGTACTACTGTGCTCTGAGGCCCACAGTGACAGGAAACACCAGAACTCTGTACAAGAACCTGCAATACTCCACAGCATCCACTAGAGACTACATCCCAGACCCTGTTCAACCTCTAGGTTTTTTTTTTTTAGGATTTTTTCCAGAAATCGAATAAATTTATTTTATTTATAAGAGTTTGTAAAAACTCCCCCTGATAAAGGGGGAGTTGCATTGTTACTCTGTTAGCCAGATTAGATGGAGTAGAAGGCCTTCCTTCACATGGTGGATGACTCTGTGTATGGAGGTCATCTAATCAGGACAGCCTTCTTGTCTTTTAAAGATTCAGAAGACAAGGACACATCTTGGAGCCGGACTGATGGAGGAGAGCTATCTGTAATCCTAAAGCATAGAGGCAAGATGCATGAAGTTCAAGGCATGGATCAGAATCAGAAATACTTTAATAATCCCAGAGGGAAATTACTTTTGTTACACACTCCAGTTACAGTTTTATATGATATATACATAGCCTGACGTAGTCCGACTCAATTCTAGTCAGAATATGAGTCTGATGCTGCTCCATAGAGCTGTGATTATGGGGCGTGTTTTGAACGAATAAGGAAAAAAAAATGCCTCTGCACTCAATTGGATAGACCTACAACCAATAAGAGCAACGGAGTGCGTGACGTATGTTAAGCGAGGCATAGTTGTTGTCAACAAAAATCAAAGCGTGCAGTTGCACGCCTAGAATAAGAAGATGAGACTTGATCGCGTTTCTCTGTTCCTCTTTTAAAATTAATCTGCTGTCGATATCTTCTAGAACAGACCTAATAGCAGAATCTACTCACCTCAACTCTCCAGCGGCAGCCATTATTGTTGTCACCCAAGCGCGCATTGGTCACGTGGTTGATAACGTTACTCTTGCTCATCTGTCCATCATCGTATAAAGCCCGCCCTGACAATTTGATTGGATCGCCTGACAGTGGGCTTTAATACTCGCGTTACTATGGAGCAGAGCCAGACCGAACTTCCCCGAACTCAAACCTTGTGGGCGGGACTAAGTTCGGACTGGCACCCAGGCTAATATATACACACATCCAACTATAAAATATAATAAAGTTAAAAAATAAGAATAAAAAGAGATAAAATATATACACATATAGCTCTTCTATATATATATCTGTACGTATATCTATGCATATGTAAAAACTAAATCCAAATAAATTGAAAAGTCCAAGTAAAGTGATACGTGGCGTGAAAAAATAGTGCATAAATGTCAATTTATGGGGGGGGGGGGTTGAATCACTTGAGGGAGGCGTTATAGAGGTTGATGACCACAGGTAGGAATTATTTCCTGTGGCGCTCTGTGGTGCATCTGGGTAGGAGGAGTCTTCTGCTGAAGGAGCTGGTCTGCTGGACCAGTGTGTCGTGGAGAGGATGTGAGTCATTGTCTAAGATGGACTGAAACCTGGACAGCATCCTCCTCTCTGCCACGGTGGTCAGGGTGTCCAGCTGCTCCCCCACAACATCATCGGCCCTCCTGATCAGTTTGTTCAGTCTGTTGTTTTCAGCAACCCTCAGCCCACTGCCCCAGCATGTGACAGCAAAGAAGAGCGTGCTAGCAACAACAGACTCATAAAACATCCTCAGCATCGTCCCACAGATGTTAAAGGACTTCAGCCTCCTCAGGAAGAATAGTCGGCTTTGGCCCTTTTTGTAGACCGCTTCGGTGTTTCTAGTCCAGTCCAACTTATTGTTAAAGTACACTCCCAGGTACTTATACTCCTTCACAGTGTCAATAGGAACTCCCTGGATGGAAACAGGGGTCACAGGTGTTTTGGTCCTTCTCAGATCCACTATTAGCTTCTTAGTCTTTGTCACTTGGAGTGAGCTGAACCACCTGCAGCTCAAGTGACAAAGTTGCCCACCACAGTCCTGTATTCACTCTCATCACCCTTTTCAATGCAGCCAACAATTGCTGAGTCATCAGAAAACTTCTGAAGGTGGCAGGACTCAGAGCAATAGCTGAAGTCCGAGGTGAAAAGGGTGAAGAGGAACGGGGAGAGGACAGTCCCCTGAGGCGCACCAGTGTTGCTGACCACCCTGTCAGACACACAGTTCTGTAGGCGTACATACTGTGGTCTGCCCGTCAGGTAATCAACAATCCAGGACACGATGGGGGCCTCCACCTGCATCGCAGTCGTCTTCTCACCCAGTAGAGCCGGGCGGATGGTGTTGAAGGCACTGGAGAAGTCAAAGAACATGATTCTCACTGTGCTCGCCGATGGCATGTCAGTTTCTGATACGGACAGCTGAGCATCCACCTGATGCAACACATGGACTCATGAGGTATAAGAAGGAGGAGATGACCTTGTTCGGGGCTCAATCTTTGCCGGATGCTCGCTGATGTTTTTTGAGCCCACAGCTGTACCAACTCCAAGCAATTTCTCTGTCCTGTAACGACCTGACCTTGAATAAACTCTGTTACTTTTTTATTGTTTTCTAGTCCTTTTTTTAAAATCCTTTTTTATATGGTTTTACCCAGTTTGAGTTAAGAATAGTCAATAACTTGCTCCCAGGAAAAGAACCGGAAGGGAAGTTCCAAGGCGCAGCCGCCTTCAGGAGACGTAACTTCCACATTCCAAACAGGTTGATTAATACAGATCCAGGAATAATGTATATAGTTTACGGGGATCAACAATAGACCAAATACCTTTCTAAACAACACGTTAGCTAGGTTTTAATTGTAAAAATATTAGTAGGGATGACATCAACAAAAAGTTTAATTATAGGATTAACTTTATCAACAGGTTGAAACGGTCTGCTAAATATTCTCCATATCATCAGGGGGTGAGCTAATCTTAAATAAAGGAATAAAAAGGATGACTTTTTACTATGTTATAGAATGGACTAGGTTATGATAAATAGGTTAGCCAGTTTTAATTAGCAGGATATTAAAGGGACAACAAGCATCAACAAAATGCAGCTTTGGAGAAATTACAACATTTTCAGCGCAAATGTTTAAAGTAAATGATATCTTTAGATATAAGCAATATTAATTAAGACGTATTGAGTTAATGGTGCTTATGGTAATTCAATATCAGGCCCAGGATCTAAAACTTCACTATTTTAAACTGCAAGCTGATTTAAAGCTAGCATTATAGAGGCTATATATTTGGGGGATGCTATATACACTATATTGCCAAAAGTATTTGCTCACCTGCCTTGACTCACATATGAGCTTAAGTGACATCCCGTTCCTAATCCATAGGGTTCAATATGACGTCGGTCCACCCTTTGCAGCTAGAACAGCTTCAACTCTTCTGGGAAGGCTGTCCACAAGGTTTAGGAGTGTGTTTATGGGAATTTTTGACCATTCTTCCAGAAGCGCATTTGTGAGGTCGCACACTGATGTTGGACGAGAAGGCCTGGCTCTCAGTCTCCGCTCTAATTCATCCCAAAGGTGTTCTATCGGGTTGAGGTCAGGACTCTGTGCAGGCCAGTCAAGTTCATCCACACCAGACTCTGTCATCCATGTCTTTATGGACCTTGCTTTGTGCACTGGTGCACAGTCATGTTGGAAGAGGAAGGGGCCAGCTCCAAACTGTTCCCACAAAGTTGGGAGCATGGAATTGTCCAAAATGTCTTGGTATGCTGAAGCATTCAGAGTTCCTTTCACTGGAACTAAGGGGCCAAGCCCAGCTCCTGAAAAACAACCCCACACCATAATCCCCCCTCCACCAAACTTTACACTTGGCACAATGCAGTCAGACAAGTACCGTTCTCCTGGCAACCGCCAAACCCAGACCCGTCCATCAGATTGCCAGATGGAGAAGCGCGATTCGTCACTCCAGAGAACGCGTCTCCACTGCTCTAGAGTCCAGTGGCGGCGTGCTTTACACCACCGCATCCGACGCTTTGCATTGCACTTGGTGATGTATGGCTTGGATGCAGCTGCTCGACCATGGAAACCCATTCCATGAAGCTCTCTGCGCACTGTTCTTGAGCTAATCTGAAGGCCACATGAAGTTTGGAGGTCTGTAGTGATTGACTCTGCAGAAAGTTGGCGACCTCTTCGCACTATGCGCGTCAGCATCCGCTGACCCCGCTCCGTCAGTTTACGTGGCCTACCACTTCGTGGCTGAGTTGCTGTCGTTCCCAAACACTTCCATTTTCTTATAATACAGCTGACAGTTGACTGTGGAATATTTAGGAGCGAGGAAATTTCACGACTGGATTTGTTGCACAGGTGGCATCCTATCACAGTTCCACGCTGGAATTCACTGAGCTCCTGAGAGCGACCCATTCTTTCACAAATGTTTGTAAAAACAGTCTGCATGCCTAGGTGCTTGAATTTATACACCTGTGGCCATGGAAGTGATTGGAACACCTGATTCCAATAATTTGGATGGGTGAGCAAATACTTTTGGCAATATAGTGTATTTTGGGCGTGGGTAACCATACATTTTATGCATGAAGCAATAAGAAAACCTGACTTTACTTCACCTACAGCTGCAATCAATATTTTAGATGGAATTGCAAACTCAGTACTTTATTTGATATAACACATATAAGAGGAGTTTTCCAGGAGTTTCCTGTATATTTTTCCAGATATGACAACTATTGACTGGTTCTGGGGATGTTGGAACAGATTTTTCCATCCAAGCACTATATATATATACAGTATATATATATATATATATATATATATATACACATATTTTTTGATGACACTTTGCATAGAGGAGGTGCAGCCGAATTCAGCATTTTCAGGAACTTTGCAGGGTTATTAAAGACACTTCCCCCACACACACACACACACACACACACCCCCACACCCACCCAAACACTCAAATCCCCCCCCCCCCCACACACACACCTTCTGGTTTTTGCCCTTTGTGGGGTCCTCCAGTTTTTTGGTGCTTTATGGGATCCACCCTTTCCAGTGGTCCTACACTGCTGTAAAAACAAGGATTTAAAAAAAAATCCCAATCCTTAAAATCACTTCAGTTCAATAAATTTCTAAAGTTTTATCCAAAAAGGCATTTGGCGACTTGTGGGGTCCCGTTCCTAGCATTGCCAACTTGTGGGGTCCACTCGCATACACACATACATATCAAGTTTTGATGTGTTTATGGGGCCCAAGGTCGCCATTAGCAGATGCTGAGACCAGCCTTGATTATTAATCCCAGTTTCTGCATTTTGGACTAAAATAGTTATTTTTGTAATGATGCACAGTTCTGCCATACAGTCTGACCATTTGAGGTAATCACTGCAATCGGGTGTTTTCTGTAATGGTCAATCAGATGACACCTGTTGACAGGTATGTTGGTCCACTGTTAATGAACAAGCTGCTTAAAGGTTGAATATGGAACACGGGCAGAACAGCAAGATCACGTGTGTCTAAGTTGTAGTTGCAACGGCCGAAAAACAACTCCAGCCGCTGGGATCCCAGGCTCGCTGCTGATACGCAAGTGACCACCAGCCTGCAGCATGTCCTACAAGTAACGCGGAGGAGTTTATAACTCACAGCTAACATTAGCCACGTTAGCAAACAAGCTAGCTTTCCGATCCAGGAGAAAAGTCACCATTTCCATGTTTTTGATGGCTTAGAAAACGTTTATCTGGGTCGTCTTAACCTAAATCTGTCAGGTCACTCCTCTTCAGGAACACCTCCAGGACTCTGAAGCAGCTGCTTGACTCACAGTCTTCCCTGTTTCCCCCTGTGCTAGCTTGCCAACCGTGCCAAACATACTATTGCCACACAGAGATCATATTTGGCAACCAACAATGGCTTATAGATGTAAACATAATGCCATTGTCAAACCCCTAAATATTTTTATAATTATTGTCAAGCTAAAAATAATTTTTTTTTTTAAATGTTATACTTTCATTCTGCAACCCTCCAACCTTTAAATTTCTCTGGGACACTTTTTAAAGTTATTTTTCAAACAAAATTCAAAATCAATATTCAAATAAAATAAAATTATAATTTCATAATCTTTATTTTTTTTTTTACCATTTTCAGTTTCTACTTATTTGAATCACTATTGTGAATTTAGCCTTTTCTTTAACAGGAGGGGATGTAAACTTTCAAGCTCAACTGTTTATGTAAAACCTTCCATTTGCCTTGAGACATAAAAAGAAGCACGCTACACATACAATTTTCTGACAAAAATGAAAAGACCACTTTTATTGTTGGCATTAACAGTTTATGCCACAGTTGTCAAACTGAGTCCCTTTCCAAACAGATTAATCCAAAAATATGCAGTAGGGTTTTCCATGCCGCTATGCGGCAACAACAGCCTCAGCCTGAACTTATATCTAAACCAAACAGTTTTTGTTGTACAAACACTGAAATTACATGCTTTTTAGGACTGCATCCTTAATGTCATGTTAAGTTTTTTTTTCCAGTGAAAACTCAAATTTAAAAGGCATCATACAGAGATATTTAAACAAATGAAAAATCCTTTGAAATAACATTTCCTGCGCCCGTAATAAAAATAAATTAAAAATAAGATAAAATAAGAATTGTGAAATGTGTATATTTGTAGGCCACGGGACAGTAACAAAACCCGAGCAAACCTCTACAACAGAACACAACAAAGGATTAAACATTTTAAGATCCTACCTCAAATGCTTCGGTTTTACCTCAGTTCCATTAGGTGCTGTCACACTACACCTTTCTTCTCAGGGCTGTAATGCGATTTTTAATGTAGTATTTAACTGCTTTCCAGTCCCTGTTTCTGAGAGCTTGAGGTTCTGCATCAATACAGCGCTGACACTCTTCTTTACCAGGAACTTGACCTCTTATGATAAATCTCTTCAAATGTGTGTTCACTGCAGCACACTCGTCTGGGGTCCAGCTTCTTTTCACAGCAGTTTGCTTTCCTATGTAGGCAAAAAACACAAAATATTGTAGGTTTTCTTTTGTGAAGAAAATTTTAGTCACTTAAAATAGCAATACTGTTTGATAGATAAAATATGTCATACCCGTAACAAGTTACAAGTAACACAAAAAAAAATTCTGTATTCACAGAGTTTTCCAGTATAATTTTCCACGCAACAATTAAGCACTAACTGTTATGTTCTGTCATCTAAAAGCAATTTTTCTCTTTCTTGTAGGGTTGTAACGGTACACAAAAATCACGGTTTGGCATGTACCTCAGTACACAGATCACAGTTTGGTTTTTTCTCGGTACAGTAAAGGAGAAAAAATTAACAAATATTAAGGCCCCGTCCACACGAAGTCAAACCCTGGCCTAAACGCACAAATTTTTCACCAAACCAGCCTCTCATCCACACGAAGCCGGCGTTTCGGGGGTCTGTAAACGATCTTTTTTTTATTCAGCCTTCAGAGTGGGAAGATTATGAAACGCCGTTTTCGCGTTTCCATCTTTAACCTCTAACCGGATTTTTTTTCTTACACGCATGCGTCGCCTCTAAACACGCATGCGCGACACAGTATCACAACAACAATGGCGCCGTACTGTGTTGAATGGTTGCTGCTCATGCTACTCACCCTGCTGTCGGGCTTACAACAGAATCTTCTTCTTCTGGAATATCTCCAGGAAGAACAGAGCAATATCGACCACATAGTTCATCACCTCAATTTGACTGAACCACGAAAATGGACCCACAGGGCAACCATGTATAAATATTAGTGCGCATGCCCAACATTTCGTCGCCTATTTTTGCTTTGGCACCACAGCGCCACTTACAGGCCTGGCATACATTTTGCAGCGTTTTCATGCATTCGTGTGGACGATCACATTTATTTTACGTCTCATAAATGAGCGGTTTTAGCCCCAAAGACAATGCAAGCCCCCAAAGCTTACCTCTCTTTTTTGCAGAGACACTCCAGTTTTGGACTTGTGATGTGGAGGTACATTGTTCCAGGGATGACATGCTGACCTCATCTTGTGACCCCTCCTCTCCTGGCATACTGACATCTAGACAGAGAAATAGCTTCATTTAAGAATGCAATACACAAAAGCTCTAATAGCTGTCAGTACAGTGATTGTGTTATTTTGTAAAATTATTTGTTTATGGAATGTGTGTATCAAAAGGGAAATTTTGGTTCATTTCACCCCGTCTATCGTCCTAAATTCTCTTCAAGTGACTAGAGGGTGAAATATTAGTTGTCATGTTAACCGCTGCCCGGGCACACCAGGGGCACAGCTAGTCAATGCCAATTTTATTCATATAGCACAATCGATTACAAGCAAACCCAAAGTTCTTTACATTTAAAAACAGGAAACAATAAAAATACTATCACTGATCATCATTATAGTCCCCCGCCAAGAGATTGCAGCAACCTATACAATAAGCAGCAAGTGGGTTGATGCTAATCTAAAAGCTCATATTTAAGTTAGTTTTTTTTTTCTTTTTAAGATGGCACTGTGTGAGCAGCACCAAGCTATAACAGCGCTTCCTCCACTTTTCCTACTTTCATTTCTTATATACAAACAGATAAGAAACCTAAGCACATTCTCACTGAAAGGAGAAAAAGAAAAAAAAGCATATATACATGTAGTGTATGAAACAGAATAGAAATAGATATAACAAATGTGAGTGGGTGATTTTTGGATATCCGGTAAGATTTGTAGCCTCATAATTGATAAGATCGTTCTTCTGCTCCCCCAACATACACCAAGGCTGAGGAAGTTCCACCACAGATGTGGAAAGTGAAGGTGTGGACTGAGGAGGTTAATGAGAGACTGAGGACTGTCTCCAGACAACTGGGGCATGCAGCTCCCGTGGAGATGGCATCGATAGTCTTAAACTAGGGATGCACGATATATTCGGCCCCCTATCGGTATCGGCCTTAAAACTGAATATCGGACATCGGCCACCCCACCGATATTTAACCCGATATTTGATCAGCTTTTGGGTTTCTAAAGTCTAAAAAAAATAAATAATAAATACTACTTCTTCTTCTTCCTCAAAAACTTATTTTTTAAAGACTTAAAAACTTCCAAAGACGAGGGAAAAAATATTGATACATTAAAATATCCCAATATCTTCATATGCTGATATATTGCCATTTAAAAACACCATATCAATCCCTTTAACTAATGAAATATTGCTATATGTCATCATTATTAGGGCTGAACGATTAATTGCATTTGCAATAATATCGCGATATGATAAAACGCGATTTTCTAACCGCAATGGACGCGATTTGACGGTCACGTGATGGTCACGTGACGGTGACGCGCTAGCCAAACAACACAGAGGGAAAGCTGATGTCGTCTGCGACTAACTTGCTGAACAATGGCGTCAGAATGCACAAACACCGACACAACTGAAGGTCTGGTACCAAAGAGGAGCGGCACGTCATTGGTGTGGAATTTTTTTGGGTTTAAGAAAGAAGACGCTGCGCAAACTCAGGTGTTGTGCCGGACATGCCTTGCTATGGTTGCTACCTCACGAGGTAACACGACGAACCTCTATCAGCATTTGAAAAAACACCACAAGGCTATGTATGATAGCTGCATGGCTAGAATGGCAACTACCAGTGCCTCAGCGTCAGTTAAGCAAAGTACCACCCGACAGGGATCACTGACCGAACTGTTTGAAAGTGTTACTCCCTATGAACATAATGCGAAACGGCACGTTGAAATAACTCGGGCAATTACGGAGTTTATAGCGAAAGACATGATATCCGTCAGTATAGTGACCAAGCCTGGGTTTACGGCTTTGGTACACACGTTGGATAAGCGGTATTCAATGCCCTCGCACACATATTTTAACCAAGTCGCAATACCTGAGCTATACAAAAAATGCAGAGACAGAGTTGCTGCGGAGCTGAAAACAGTGGAGTTTTTTGCAACAACTACAGATTTGTGGTCAAGCCAAACAGCGCAGCCGTACCAGAGTCTAACAGTGCATTATATTGACGAGGACTTAAATCTTAAAGCTCGCTGCCTTCAAGCTTCCTACTTCCCGGACGACCACACAGGGGAAAACATTGCTGCTGGCTTGAGAGAGGGACTGGCTAGCTGGAATTTACCGGAAGAAAATCACATCTGCATAACGACGGACAACGCATCAAACATGGTGTTGGCAGCACAACTAAATGAATGGACCAGACTGCAGTGTTTTGGGCACCGATTACATCTTGCCATCGGTACGTAACATATCTCAGCATGAGAGTGTGTGATTGTGAATGCGCAGAGAGAGAATATCTGTGGGTGTGTGTGTGTGTGTGATTGTGAATGCGCAGAGAGAGAATATCTCTGTGTGGGTGTGTGTGTGTGATTGTGAATGCGCAGAGAGAGGATATCTCTGTGTGGGTGTGTGTGTGTGATTGTGAATGCGCAGAGAGAGGATATCTCTGTGTGGGTGTGTGTGTGTGATTGTGAATGCGCAGAGAGAGGATATCTCTGTGTGGGTGTGTGTGTGTGATTGTGAATGCGCAAAGAGAGGATATCTCTGTGTGGGTGTGTGTGTGTGATTGTGAATGCGCAGAGAGAGGATATCTCTGTGTGGGTGTGTGTGTGTGATTGTGAATGCGCAGAGAGAGGATATCTCTGTGTGGGTGTGTGTGTGTGATTGTGAATGCGCAGAGAGAGAATGTGTGTGTAATGTAAGGGGTTGAGTAAAAGAATGTGAAAGTTAATATCCTTTTTCACTAGAGATGCACCAATCCATTCATTTTATGATCCAGTACCTGTGCTCTGCATATTGGCTGATATTCAATACCAATTTGGAGGTATTGTTGTAATGAATTAACTGTATAACTTGCAAGACTTGATATAGACATTGATAAAAAAAAAAAAAAAGGTAACAAATTACGAGATATAAATGTACTTAATATTATTTATTAAGAAATGAAGTGTAGATTTGCACTGCATTATGCTGCAAATTTTGCAGCATAATAATATAATCTAATAATCTAATTTTATGTTGCAGGACATGCACTTAAAGATGACAGAGTGTCCAGAGCAATAGGGCTGTGCAAGAAGCTGGTGGGGCACTTCTCCCACAGCTGGAAGAAGAAGGCAGCAATGGCTGAAGCTCAAAGGGAACTCAAACTTCCTGAGCACTCCCTCATCACTGAATGCCCTACAAGATGGGGATCCAAAGAAATGATGATTGCCAGGGTGCTAGAGCAGCTCAAAGCCATCACTCAGGTGTTGTCAGGTGACCGATATGCACGCTCCCTGATCCCAACCTGGCAGGATATTGAGGTGTTGGAGTCCATTCACAAGGCACTGCATCCTCTCCAGGAGTTTACGGATGCTCTCTCTGGAGAGGAGTACGTCAGCATCTCTTACTTAAAACCAGTTCTTCACCTTCTGTCCACATCAGTCCTGGCTGAAAACCAAGAGGACACTGACCTGACAAGGTCAATTAAGACCAAGGCCCTGGCTTACCTCACCGATAAGTACAGTAACCCCAGCATCCAGGAGCTTTTGGATGTTGCATCCTTTCTAGACCCAAGGTTCAAAACCAAGTACATCGCTGCAGACAACATTCCCACCATTAAGACCCGACTCAAAACTGAAATTATGCAACCAGCAAGGCGTGCATATAACCAGGTTGGTAATTATCACATTTATGATTCTATAAACACAATATATCTTTCTAGTTATAATTTAACCTCAACACTAATTACTGTATTTTTTTTGTTATCTGACAGGAGAAGAGAAGTCGTACTGAAACCACAACGATGCCTAAAAATGCACAGCCCTCTGTTGAAAAGGGCAAGAAGTCTCTTGGGAGTTTCTTCAAGACTGCTGTGGGCTCTTCTGTTTCTTGCATGCAACCCGAAGATGTTGTTGAGGCAGAGATAAACAGCTACCTCATGACTCCTACCATCGATGGAGAGGAAGACCCCTTGGCCTGGTGGAAGATGCACAGGATTAACTTTCCACAACTGTGCAACATGGCCCGCAAGTATCTTTGTGTCCCAGCCACAAGTGCTCCTTCAGAGCGTCTTTTCAGTGCTGGAGGGAATATAGTGACTTGCACTCGCTCCTCTTTGAAACCAGCAAAAGTTGACATGCTGATTTTCCTGGCAAAAAATCTGTGAGCTTCTAAAAAAAAATACAGAGACAAATCTTTGTGGCTTACAGTGCCATATGTTTTTTGCACTTTACAATAGTTGTTTGCTGCTCTTACTGAGTGAATATATAATTTATATGATTGTTCAAAACGTTTCTTAGGATTTAAAAAGGTCATACACTAATTTATTTTCTGTTTATTTGAGAGTTTGATTGACCTATTAAAATGTTTACAGGTTGAAAGAAGTAATTCATTCGGTATACTATGCTGCACTTTAGTATGTTTGATGCCACTGACTGGAGATCAGTGATTTATTTCGTTTCTTATTTTGTTTATTTATTTTTAGACTGTCCTGTTAAAATCTGACAATGTTTAAGGAGTGGAGTCTATATGTTTATATATCGCGTTTCATGAAACATGAGAAGATGTTAATAAGGTAAACGCACACAGATTTGTTTCGTTTATTATTGTAATCTGTGCTTTAAATAAATCTGATTATTATGAAACAGATTTGTTTGTATATGTTTAAAAAGACATGAGAAATTAAACCAGGATAGAAAAATCGCATTAAATCGCAATATCAAAGTAAAAAATCGCAATTAGATTATTTTCCAAAATCGTTCAGCCCTAATCATTATGCTACGAAATCCCCCGAAAATTCACGAAATTTTGCCATATTTTTATATGTTGATATATTGACGCGGTATCGATCTATTTTACTAACAAAATCTCACAAGAATTTGTTAAATATCACGAGAGTTTGTAACAGAACGATGAAATTTCACGAGATTCTGAAAGTAAAATAGATCGATACCGCGTTTTTAAAAATCAATTTGATATCAGCATATGAAAATATATTTGAGTATATTATTTTTCAAAGTGTCAGAAAATGGATAACAAAACTGCTATTTTCAATGACTACTTATTTTTGTCCAGCTTTAACATCGGTATCGATATCGGTTATCGGCTACATGAGTTTTAAAATATCGGCATATCGGATATCGGCCAAAATCCCAATATCGTGCATCCCTATCTTAAACTGCATCAAAGACTATGTGAACTTCTGTATGGACAACACCAGGACTTTCCACAGAGACTCTGATTAGCCAGCCATAACATCTAAGGGCAGGAATATACTTGCTGTTGGCGACGCGTCCGCATCATGGCGCCCACGCGTTCCCAGCGTATCTACGGCACGTAGGTCGCTCGCGTTGACGCAAGGCAACGTGCCGCGTAGTGCAATAGCGACTTGAACGCTAGAGGTGCCAGGGTTTTTCCTTGCTCAAATTGAGGTGGTACCATCCTTACCACACGCACATGTGCACGGGCACGTGCATACGTACATGTGCATGCTCTGTTTCCAAGCAATACGTTTTGTTTTTTGGGAGTCTAATGTATAAATAAGGTAATGACTAGGGATGAGCAAGTTCACCACTATCTGTGTCTGTTCAACCATCTAAATTATCTGCATCTATACGCGAAGTGGGTGGGGTCTAAACGTGAAGTGGGCTTGGTTCAAGCAGAGCTGGATGGGGCTTAAATTGGTACATCGTTTTTAGTCTGAAATTGATATGGATTGATCATAGTAAAGGAACTATTTACAGAACAAGTTTTTAAAAAAATAAAATGAAAAAACACAATAAGAACACATTCAGAACATTTTTAAGTGTATACAACACATGCAGTAGGAAACTATGAACTTTCATGGCAGCCAAGGAAGCTTTACATAGAAACAATAAAACACAAAAGTAAAGTAAAAGCCAAGGATTAAAAATAACATTTTAATAGCAATAAGAATGTGTCTCTTTGATCTTGAATATGATACTGATGGATGCTGCTAAGGTTAGTAGTTACTGTTTGTATGCTAAATGCCATCCTAACTCCACCTTTGTTAGAGAAGATACTGTTGTGATCATTTTCTTTATTTTTGCTGATGATGATTTTGAAAATAATACTGCTGCTGTTCATGTTAGCAGTTAGTTACTGTTTGGAATCAGATCAGATGCTACATGACATCCTGGATAATACTTGCACCTTGTTATTGAAGATAATGTTGTGATAATTATCTTTGCTTTTTTGTTGTTGATATTTATGCTGCTAATGATACTGCTGCTGTATTAGTAATGGGCTTTATGTACAACTCCACTACTTCCTGAACTTCAGCTCCTTCGCCTCCTGTCTTTCATTACTGGACAAACTGATTAATCCAGCTGTGTCTGACCTCAGTAATCACAAACACAATGGTCAGACACACCTGGATTAATCAGTTTGTCCAGTAATGAAAGACAAGAGACAAAGGAGCTGGCTAAAGTTCAGGAAGTAGTGGAGTTGTACATAGTTACTGTTAACTATCAGCAGTTTACTGTTTGAATGCTTTGGGACTGTGAATTTTTTTTAGTTAAGTATGGTAATAATTACATTTTTTTTTGTACTCCACTGTTTTTATTAAAAAAGAAAATTACCGTATTTTCACGACTATAAGGCGCACTTAAACGTCTTTTTTTTCCCTCAAAATGTGCGGTGCGGCCTTGGTGCGGTGCGCCCTATGTGTGTTGTAACTGCGACTTTTGAGACCACCTCATTGAGGAGATGATGAAAGAGTGGCTGAATGTAAGGAGACCAGGTGTTTTTTTTTCCACTTATCACCATCGCTGATGTGAAAAACATGGTGAAACAAATTAACGCTGTGCTCGCTGTTCAACCGCTGGACATCGGTGTGAACCGGACCCAGCAGGTGCAGCAGAAGCAGCGAGTTTACATGCAAAGTCAATGGCTGACGTGCGTATAGGCGCAGCAAAAGGTCTCGCAGCGCGTTTTGAGCAGCAGGCGCAGCGCGTCGGGAGCGTTTAAGCAGGGAGGTGTAGCCTATGTGAGGAGACCAGGTGGTTTTTTCCACGCATCACCATCGCTGCGTGCCCATCTCACAGCCGATGTGAAAAAAAAGGTGAATCAAATGAACGCTGTGCTCGCCGTTATCCCGGGGGGTCTGACAAAGGAACTTCCACCGCTCGACATCGGTGTGAAGCGGCCGTTCAAAGCAAGGCTGCGAGCGGCGTGGGAGCGATGGATGACAGACTGAGACCACAGTTTCAGGATAAGTGGAAGGCAGCGCCGGGCAAGTTACGCCACCGTTAGCGGATGGATTGTAGATGCTTGGACTAACGTGTCTGCTGGCTCTGTTGTTCAAGCTTTCGCAAAAGCCGGCATTATTTCTGAGGAGCCGCGCTGCACGGAAAGTGACTCTGACAGCGAAGAAGGGGAAACTGGCATGTCTGATTTAGTGCAGCTGTTTAATTCAGAAACAGAGGATGATGACTTTGATGGGTTTGATTAATACTTTGTAATAAATACATGAATAAAGCACAATCATACTCAGTTTTGCTCCCGCTCTATTTTTCTACCTGAAAACTTAATTCAACAGCAGCCTCTGGGCGCGTCTCCTCCTCTTCACCGCGGTGGCTGGCAGGTGTTTTTTCATCTAAATAATCTAAATCTTGCAGCTATATTTGCTGTGATCAGTGGGAATAAAGTAGTTTTAATATGTTTTTAAGTGAGAAAGTCCACCAGAAAACTTAATAATTGCAGTCAGTTCATCCAGATTATCTATTTCTGTCGGAGGCGCTCAGACCCCCACATACCAGCGGTGCGCCGACAGTAGGAACCCCTTCAACAGCAGCCTCTAGGCTGGGCAGCCTCCGGGTTCACGCGGTGGCTGGCAGGTGTTTTTCATCTAAATAATTTTAGCTGCAGGCACCAGGATACCGGTAATAAAAGCGAACATATTCTGTCGGCAGGTTTCAGGATTTTAAGTTAATTTAGGAGTGATCACAGCGCTCTGTCATCTGCGATGTGTCTGTCTCACGGCCAGCACCCAGGTTTGATTAATACTTTGTAATAAATACATGAATAAAGCACAGTCATACTCAGTTTTGCCCCTGCTGTATTTTTAAATACGCAGTAGAGGTATTTAAAGGTAGTAGAGGACATGTACCTGTATATAAAAAACGCGCCCTATAGTCCGGTGCGCCTTATGTGTGTGTTAAATACAGAAATGGGACACATAACTGAGACTGCGCCCTTTTACTACGGTGCGCCTTATGGTCGTGAAAATACGGTAACTTATTTTGATTTCATATATTCATTGTTTCTTTTTGTTGTAACTTTTGAATAAAAAAAACGTATTTATGAGTTGTATTTTTATTGCCAGTTGCAATAAAATTTCCAATGTAGTGCTTCATTGTATGGGTTTCCGTTAAGGAGGAAAAGTATCGGCATCGAAGAAAAAGTACAACAAAGCATCGGTATCGTATCGAAATATAAAAAATGGGTATCGCCCATCCCTAGTAACAGGTGCTGCATTATACTTCATTGTGAGCCCATTTTAATATTATTGAATCTCTATTAAATTTTTCACTTAATTTCTGACTGTAAATATTTCTCTAAAATTTCTTTTTGTACATATCTTCACTCTGCTTTTACCATTTATTTACATTTCCAAATTTCTGTACCTTTTTCTGTGTGCGCCTCTGTGCTGATGTGGCTGGTGTATTTCTCTGGGATTAATAAAGTCTCATCTATCTATGCCATTTGTTGTAATGTCAGGCATTACTGACCCAGTGTTCAGTGTTAAAACTGGGGTTGTGTTTGCCTGTGCTGATTGTGCAGCCTTTATATAATTATACCATTTATATAGTTGCTGTACTTTTACAAAACAGTCTATCCACAGACAGAATAGATTTCAATCCCATCTTTTCTGAACCACACCTACACTCCCAAGAGTAGTGCCTCCAAGTAATGTAAGCCTGAAACACATTTATTCTTGGAGATGTCAGGAGATGGTCAATCAGGAAACGTGAAGACTTTCAGAGCAATCAAATGCAAAGCTCATTAATATTCATGACCAACAATGGATAATTTAGAATCAATTTAAGATCATCATGCACATACCTTCAATGTCCTCTTCTGAAGGTTCCTCCATTTGAACAGTCTCTAAAATGATAATTGATAAAATATTGAGTTTGGAAAACTGAAACTATGGGCCATCTGCAAGAGTATACAACAGTAGTATCATTTTCTCATCCAGTCACTATTACACCCCTATGTTTTACACAGTGAATAGTTATTTTCTGAATGCTGAAGACAATGGCCATGTCCGAAACTGCACACTTGCACTATGTTGTGTGCTACTTTTCAGTGTAAGTGCGGTTGCAGCTAAAATTCAGTGCACTGAAAAGATCCCAGATGCTGCCCTAATAATGGTAAAAAAAAAAGTGAAGTGCAGAACGAAGCACAGTACTCGCACAAAACAGACGGCATCTTGCTGGCATATCAAAAGAGGCGGTATTTTCTACGTTTTTGGAGCTGAATAATGGCAGAGAATGGGGAGGTAGCGACCACCAGCAGCAGCAGAGGCTGTACTACTGTAGATAAGTAAGGTTCATGCAATTACTCAGATATAATTGTTAATGTATACTGTGGCATGCTACCAAACGTATATCTTTCTGCCTGATGACGGCAGTTATACCAGCTTATTAGAGTTAGCACACGTAATTGTTATTCGTTTTGGCGGTCAATGCCAGCTTGTCACTTCCAGTAAGTGCAGTGCTTCGTTTGTTTGTTTAGCCACGGTCTGCACTTCAGACTTAGTGCACAGTGTGCACTGTGTACTGTATCCCAGAGCACTCAGGCAAGTGCACAGTTTCGAACACTTAAATGTTGTATATATTGTGCCTTCAAAAATATGTTAATTACCATTCACGTCGACTTGTATTTCATCGAGGCTCTTCCCTTTGTAATCTCCAAGGCGTCCTCTTTCCATTGCCAGGAGGACTTTGCTAACTTTGGCTAATTGGAGGGTGCTTTGTGGGAGCCTGTAATGTTTCCTGTGAACAGCAATGTTATGACCAAGAAGGTCTGCCAGCAGGTCAAGCTCAGTGGTTTTGAGGTTGAGAACCGTAGACAGGGTAGCGATATGTTTCCTCAGTTTTATTGATGTTAGTGCTTGAGGATTTTTTATGTCAGCACATTCACTGACAAATTGCCTCATGCAGTCGCAAGCCCTGAGGTAATGGTCAGATTGTGGCAAAGCAAACAGATATACATTGTCCTTCAGTACCCCACATTCTTCTCTGGTCTTAGTAAGGGCATCAATAGACTCTCTCATTAATGGGGTTAGAAGAACGGGTACCTTTCTTCCTCTTTTTCCAACAATTGCTATGCGCATAAAATGCCTGCAGAGCTTCTGCTCTAGCGCTGTGAGGGCCAAGTTTACGTCTCCCTGTTCTTCTTCTGTGTCCTTTGATAAGTATGCAGACAAGCGCATTCGAGACACTTCCCCTGCTCTCCGTCGATTAAAAAGCATAACTTGGGTGAGCGTTACTTTTGCAAGTTCTTTCCAATTTGTGGATGAAGGATGTTCTTGTAGATCTTTGAGATGTTGCTGCTGTTTTTCATCTAGATAGCAATGTAGCTTTTGGATATCTTGTGTGAGAGACAAGAGTTGCGGTGCATTCCATTTGGCCTGGTTAAGCTGGGTCAATGCCTGGCCTGTATCAAACCTCCAGCTCTTTTGGTGTAACTGCACAAACTCTTCAGCATTTTGGATGGTTTCTTTATCTTTCTTTTTCAGTCCTTCAGACTTTATAAACATGGCCAATGAATGTAGGCTGTGTCCTACCTTGCGTAAAAGAGAGGGACGTTGGTACTTGCCAGTTTCCTCACTGAATCCAGATAGGATCTTCGCAGCTTTGACAACCTGGGTGTACTGTTCAGGTTTTATGAGTTCTTGAATGGTCTTCACATGTGTGGCTTTCTTAGCTTCCAATAAAAGCCTGCCAAGTTCTCTTAGTTTCTGGCGTATGTATGAGTGTTGACTGACTATTTTCTCATTCTTTTTGAACAATCTGAACCCGTAATTGAGGATGCAGCTGTCTCCTTTGATAGCGAATGCAATCTGGTCCTGATTCATTACACTCAAGAATTTCCAATACGCATCTGTATATTCTTTTGGAGCAGTTTCAGCAAACGCACACAGTGCTTGAACTCTAGTTCTACCTGGTTTACTACTTTCTGGTTTAAAGCTGCAGACCTTGAAATGCCGCCACATTGCTCTTCTTGAGAACAACCCATAGCAGGAAACGCAATGTGCAAACTTGTGCCCGTCTGATTTTTTTTCTGGTTGTCTCCATGGGATGAGTTTTCCTTTTCGTGTTTCCAAAACATCACTGTTATGCTCGAAGTTTCCCTTATTTCGTATATAGCCCAATTGTCGTTTTCTTTCCTTTGAGTGTTTTGGAAAACTGAATGCTTTCGCAACATCCACTTCATCTATGTGTTTGCGCCTAAGGTGTCTTGACATTTTCTGGACAATCTTCCTGCAATAAAAGCAGAAGTGTTTCTTTTTATAACTTCTGGATCCATCATCCTTCTTTAAAGTTGGACTGACAATGATAGATTGCTCTTCTTCCAGGGGCATTTCCTTTTCATTTCCATAAACCCTACTATTTGGCAATCTTTGTATAGGATCACAATTTCTTTCCAAACATCTGCTCTGGCTAACATCAAATTGGCTCTTAGTAGAGGATTCACTTCCACTCTCTCTGGAGGATTCACTTCCACTCTCACTAGGTTTAGACTTGGTCTGTCTGGAGGTCTTGCTTCCACTCTCTCTGGAGGTCTTGCTTCCACTCTCACTAGGCTTAGACTTGCTCTGTCTGAATGATGCAACTTTGTTCTTTTTTTCATTTTCAACAGTTAGTTCCATACTGCAATCACTTTCTGTACTTTTGTCCATAGGATGTGGAATATACTCCTCTTCGCTACCCAACTTTGAGTCCTCCGATTCCATGGGATCCATCTGAATTTTTAATAACAAACACACACACACACACATCAATAGCTATTTTTGTAACATTAAATATCAAAAACCTGAGTATTCTGAACAGGCTTGGCATACTAAATGAAGAATATATGTATAGAGTATTACTGTACAAGTAAATTTACAGACTAGAAGAATCATCCATCAGGCTCACTAGCAAGAGCAACAGACACTTTCACGACCTTCTCAGCCTCTGTGAATCCCTTTCAGGCCTAAACATAGAGGTCTCTCTGCACTGTCACTACTGGAATCATAGAGACTGTGGGTAAAATCTTGTACTCTATCCATCTGCACAAAGGGAGACATGGAGATATGATTTTGCTGTGTGATGATTGCTGCATTTTTAATTGATAGTGAGACAATTCAGAGGTTGTCAGGTAAACAAGACACCTCTGAAAACTAATGATTATATTACAATATTAACCCGTTCATCTACCTACTGGACCCAGTGTCTAAACTGCCCGGTATAGTTTGGTACCGGTTCCCAATCTTAATGATACCAGGGTACTATTAAGATTCTGGACAAACAATACTGTTTTTGATATTTTTTGAATGTGTACCTAACCTTCGTGTAATCGTTACACCATCACATATTCATGGTGATAGAGTAAGACAGACACACTTCCCTTATTCTTACAACTGTTCACCTACCTTTATGTCCAGGCCCCCCAATTCTGTCTAAACAAGTGTGTAACATATTTTAAAAACTTGTAATGTCTTTATTATGTATGGTTCGTGTCGGGGTCTGAATTCGGCCTGTCAGTCAGTATTTCCAGATAATGACTTGCGTTCCATACATTATCCCGCTTATTATATGGCTGTACTTGCAAAAATTCAAATTCAAATGAAAGTCTATTTTTGCGAGGGTCAATAACTGATATTTTCCTCTAAGATTTAAATAGTTCCCCACGCTCGCGTCCAGGTTGGGGCACTTCTTCTTTAGCAACATTTGCTAGTTGAGTCATGGCGGCTGGAATTTGTACTAGCACGGCTATTCCTATATGTTGAACTGGACATTTCCCCCTCTGCTGTTAGCTGTATGCATCTTACCACTGGTCTTTTTCGTTTTGGAGAGGGTGAATCCTTAAACTCAGCCTGGACTCAAAATGTCCACACTCGCCAAAGACGTTTACATTAATTGAGAAGTCACTTGATGCACACTGGTGGTGGTGATGTCAGAAGTTTGCATTGTCTCAATTAGGGCTGCAACAACGAATCAATAAAATCGATAAAAATCAATTTTTAAAAGCGTTCGCAGCGAATTTTATCATCGATTAGTTGTGTCGCACGATTAATGCGTCATCCGCGGCGGCCGTCATCACATTCACTTGACTGAAACGGCGGAAGAAAAAAAAAATACGGCAGAGCGAGCCAGCGCTGCAGGGCGCAGTGTTGCCAACTCAGCGACTTTTCAGACCCCTCATTTTTTAAAAAAGCGACTAGCAACAAATCTGGCGACTTTTTACGGTGTCACTGGCGGCTTTTGGAGACTCTTACGTGAAAGCATGCATCGTTCCTACTCTGCCGTGGGGCGTCTCCCCCACCCCAACCCCGTTCTCCCGCAGGAATCCCTCTCAGCGCTGCAGTCAGAGCCGCAGGATGTTTACCCTCAGCGTCCAGACTGCAAATGAAGCGCGCATGCGCCGGGATTGACGGCGCAAATTGATCACAATAATTAAAATAGCCTGCGCTTTGTAAAGTGAAAAAAGTCGTAACATGCAACTTTTGTCAAAACAAATTAACATGGCACGGAACCACCATGTTTGTTTGGTTTTAAAGTGGGGAAACGTTACGTTAGTTTCTCAGGTAGCTCATCTGATGCTTTCCTTAGCTTGTTAGTAGGTTACAGACAGTGATAAGGTTGGCTACTTATTTTACTTTTAATTTCATTTGAATTAGCTTAAGCAGCGTTTACTTTATAAATAAATTAAATTGCAAATTATGAGGGCAAGGCTTTTAAAGTTTCAATCTTCTGGCAAAGATAAAGTAAAGAAGATCCTGCAATTTATGGAAGTAAAGTAGAATAAAATCCAGCAAGATCAGTAATATGTCAATTAATTATCTGCCACATTCCCATGTAAACATCTGTCTTTGGAGGATGTGTTTTTTAGCACCCCTAGTTCTCTCATTTTTATTCCAAATACAATTTATAATTTGAATCACAGGGCTATTTTTATCTCTATGGTTCAGTATTTTCTCAAGTAGCAACTTTAACTGCTATACTTTCCTGTCTTAAAAGGCAGAACTCTTCTAGTCTAAAAAAACTCATTTGTTGAAATGGGGGGGCCTATTGTTTGAACCCCTTAGAGGCTTTAAAAAACAAAAATGTCTATTTTTGCGCTTTATGAAACAAAGTAGCCTATATTTTGTGGATGTACAGCTACATTTCTCATGTAAGTTTGCGTAGTTTTAACACAAACATTTATTTTTCATATTGCACCAGTACAGTTAATGAGCAACCTGTACTTGTGTGCTTGTTTATTCTGTCTAAAATGTTTATTTTGGAATAAAGAGGTTAATATAAAAAATATTTTTTGTCCGATTCATCGATTAATCGGAAAAATAATCGTCCGATTCATCGATTTTTAAAATAATCGTTAGTTGCAGCCCTAGTCTCAATACGTCAAGTAGGCGGAGTCCGTGCTCGTGAAGTCCATAAGTGCAGACTTCTAGTACGTACCCACAAGTGTGTACTCACAAATACACGAGTACGCAGAACGCAAACTAGGAATTGAGAAACGGCTGATGAATTTGAGTCAGGTGTGTGTTGGAGAAGGGAGACGTGGAAAACCTGCAGGATTGTGGCTGTTGCGGCATAAAACAATCTTTTCAAACATCTTACCAAGTGCCGCTGCAGGCTAAGACATAGGTGTAATTGAAGACGCGTAATATCAGACATCTAGAACCATCATTAATGAAGCGCCTCACAACAAGTAAACGGTCACTCCAGACCAGCTTACTGCCACCCAGCATGGCTGCGTAACCGAACAGAGTCATGTGACTGAGAATGGTCACACACACATATACACACACTTTTTTTTATATATACATATATGAAAATAAGTATTAAAAAAAAATAAGTATCAAAATATGTTTTTGGGCCTTACCAGAATGCTTTTTGTGTGTCTCAGTGGTGGAACAAGTTCATCATTTGATTGATTGTTGGAATGGTTGCTTGGAAAAGCCTCATCACAAGTTTCTCTCACAGCATACGAATGTTCTGAAATCACATCGTACAAATGATCTGAAACATCCGACCCAATATCATTCTGGCGATGCGCAACATCCAGGTGTGGAGGAGGAGGTTTGTTCATCACATCTGGTTCATCACTATCTGGATAATCAACCAGCGAAAATCCTTGGACAGTTAATATCTGAAAATAAACAAAAATGTAGTAAGTATGGCATTAAAAAGATTGGCCAAAGCAACAAAACATGAAATGACAAAAAAGCTGTGATCATCATCCCGTTTAGACAGTGTAAAATTAGAAATGTTACATCACGGTAATGTTACATTACCTGGTCTTTACCACTCAATAGCTTTTCTTCTGCTGCTGCAGGAGCTTGGCTTTTTTTCACCTGGATCACAGAAAGAACTCATCTTAAATCACATCAAAGATCAAAGACTCAACACATTTACATTGTCATAGTCCAGAGTAATATTTGAAACATCGATAATATCAGAGAAATACAACATTTGTTTTTTGTAAAAAATAAAAAAATCAAGAAATCTACACCTAATCTAACCAACTCACCTCAGTACGCCAAGGCCATTTTGCTTTACCAGAGTCATAATAAATTTCATCTCCTATTCCTATTTTCTTAACAGAAAAAAGGCACAAGTGTGGCTTGTCGTCAACTATGATTTTCATCATGACACCATTTGGATTTTTGTGGTTGTCTTTGACTAGTCGTCCGAGAGATCCATTTTCTTCAGATGCACCCAGGCTGAAAAGCATAAGAAAAATTGTTGTAGTTTAAAGTTTTATTGAAAGATGCATTTTCAAAAGAAATTCCTAAGAGTAGGGATGCACGATATTGGGATTTTGGCCGATATTTAAAACTCATGTAGCCGATAACCGATATCGATACCGATGTTAAAGCTGGACAAAAATAAGTAGTCATTGAAAATAGCAGTTTTGTTATCCATTTCTGACACTTTGAAAAATAATATACTCAAATTTACACTCACCGGCCACTTTATTAGGTACACCTGTCCAACTGCTCGTTAATACTTAATTTCTAAGCAGCCAATCACATGGCGGCAACTCAGTGCATTTAGGCATGTAGACATGGTCAAGACAATCTCCTGCAGTTCAAAGCGAGCATCAGTATGGGGAAGAAAGGTGATTTGAGTGACTTTGAACGTGGCATGATTGTTGGTGCCAGAAGGGCTGGTCTGAGTATTTCAGAAACTGCTGATCTACTGGGATTTTCACGCACAACCATCTCTAGGGTTTACAGAGAATGGTCCGAAAAAGAAAAAAACATCCAGTGAGCGGCAGTTCTGTGGGCGGAAATGCCTTGTTGATGCCAGAGGTCAGAGGAGAATGGCCAAATTGGTTCGAGCTGATAGAAGGGCAACAGTGACTCAAATAACCACCCGTTACAACCAAGGTGGGCAGAAGAGCATCTCTGAACGCACAGTACGTCGAACTTTGAGGCAGATGGGCTACAGCAGCAGAAGACCACAGCGGGTGCCACTCCTTTCAGCTAAGAACAGGAAACTGAGGCTACAATTTGCACAAGCTCATGGAAATTGGACAATAGAAGATTGGAAAAACGTTGCCTGGTCTGATGAGTCTCGATTTCTGCTGCGACATTCGGATGGTAGGGTCAGAATTTGGCGTCTACAACATGAAGGCATGGATCCATCCTGCCTTGTATCAACGGTTCAGGCTGGTGGTGGTGGTGTCATGGTGTGGGGAATATTTTCTTGGTCTCTTTGGGCCCCTTGGTACCAATTGAGCACCGTTGCAACGCCACAGTCTACCTGAGTATTGTTGCTGACCATGTCCATCCCTTTATGACCACAATGTACCCAACTTCTGATGGCTACTTTCAGCAGGATAATGCGCCATGTCATAACGCTGGAATCATCTCAGACTGGTTTCTTGAACATGACAATGAGTTCACTGTACTCAAATGGCCTCCACAGTCACCAGATCTCAATCCAATAGAGCATCTTTGGGATGTGGTGGAACGGGAGATTCGCATCATGGATGTGCAGCCGACAAATCTGCGGCAACTGTGTGATGCCATCATGTCAATATGGACCAAACTCCCTGAGGAATGCTTCCAGCACCTTGTTGAATCTATGCCACCAAGAATTGAGGCAGTCCTGAAGGCAAAAGGGGGTCCAACCCGTTACTAGCATGGGGTACCTAATAAAGTGGCCGGTGAGTGTATTTTCATATGCTGATATCAAATTGATTTTTTAAAACGCGGTATCGATCTATTTTACTTTCAAAATCTGGTGAAATTTCATCGTTCTGTTACAAACTCTCGTAATATTTTCAAATTCTTGTGAGATTTTGTTAGTAAAATAGATCGATACCGCGTCAATATATCAACATATAAAAATATGGCAACATTTTGTGAATTTTCGGGGGATTTCGTAGCATAACGATGACATATAGCAATATTTCATTAGTAAAAGAGATTGATATGGTGATTTTAAATGGCAATATATCAGCATATGAAGATATTGGGATATTTTAATGTATCAATATTTTTTCCCCCGTCTTTAGAAGTTTTTTAAGTCTGTAAAAAAGAAGTTTTTGAGGAAGAAGAAGTAGTATTTAATTTTTAGACTTTAGAAACTCAGAAGCTGATCAAATATCGGGTTAAATATCGGTGGGGTGGCCGATGTCCGATATTCAGTTTTAAGGCGATACCGATAGGGGGCCGATTATATCGTGCATCCCTACCTAAGAGTATGTGTCTTTTAAAACATTATTCAAATATTAAACCCATGTTTCGGGGTCAAATCAGAATTTCTCCAATCTAACAAAACATCCATCTATTCATGCTTACCACAGGCGATTGTTCCGATACTCAAAGTCAATCTCTGAGTATTGTCTTGACCGGCATTCTTCCTGTGTCAGTTTACCCCGATACTCCAAGACAAAGTCCCCTGGTTTAATGGGGTGTGTGGCAAAAACTCCTCTTCCTATAGTAATATAGAATAAGTCAACATTTAATTCTGGGAACTCAAAAAGAAATGCAGCACTCTTTAAAAGTGAGGTTGAGGTTCTTATGTCTCATTGTATTACCTGCAGACAATGCTCAGCACTCTCCAAGTTGTGTTGCTCAGTGTACAGGTAAACTGCTTTTTTGATCAGCCTTTATGTGGCCATCTAATGTTTTTGATGCTGACCCATCCAGATCAATGTATCATTGAGGTCGCGTCTGCTCTATTCTGTTCCCTTTACCTGAGAGTGCTGTGTACCATTTAGTGCAGGCAACACACTAATGAAGCATACGGACATCATACAACTCAGACTTTTGACAGACAGATGTACTGTATTGATCCCAAACTGGGAAATTACAGTGTAGCAGCAGCAAGGCATGGAACTAAAATAGCAATATTTATATATACACAGGTACTACCAAAACAATTAAATAAATCCTGAAAAAGTTCTTTTATTTCTGTAATTCAACTTAAAGAGTGCAATTGACATATCACAAATGCAGACATAGGCAAAGGCTGAGTTGGAATTCAGTGTTAAACACTGACTGAACTGGAGTTAGAAGAGGAGACTGGATATATATAGCAACATAACTATAAATATTGTAAATTAAAGAAATACAAGAATTAAAGGGGTAGGAGTACTTAAGTTTTACTTCTTCCTGCTCCTTTTCGCACATTTAATAGAGATATATTAATTTAGGAAAGAAGGATACTAATTGTTTATTTCCAGATAAAGCATCAATCCTCCAGGATCAGGTTCGTTAGGAGCGGCTCTGTTGCTCTGATGGACCGTCTGACTTTCATCCCACTTGGTCTCCATGAAGCGGATGCTAACTGGGAAACAGCTCGCCGTTTTAAGGACGGTGTAGGTACCAGATTGACTCGGGCTGCCAGATTGACTCGGGGGCCTGCACCTTTTGATGACGTCACAATACATAATTGTTTTAACGTTTGCACAATTGCGCAAAACATTTTGATTGGTCTGGACAGCTTACTAAAGTAATTATAGCGGGGTGTAGGTTTTATTCGAAAGCGGGATTGCGGTTTGTAAACGGACAATTTTACGAAGAAATTCTCCATGGTCCCTGCGCCTTCCGATGACGTCACCGAATTCGCCATGGGCCTTGCGCCTCCCGATGACGTGACATTATGGCAACGCCACTCAAACAAACTACATTGAGCCTGCGGTCTGCATTTGTAACGAGAATAAATTCAGGAGAATGAAGCTAAAGGGATACAAAAAATAAACTTGTAATATTACAAAAACAAAAATACTACGAATACAAAGTATATTCAGAGATTAAAGTCCCTCTGATACTGTTTAAGTAACTGAGAAACTGCAGATTTGCCACATTTAAGATGGCGGACGCTCTGACGCATCTCAAAAGGCGCAGGCCCCCGAGTCAATCTGGTACCTACACCGGTCCAACAACCAGCGACACTCTGCGCTGTTGGTGTTTGCTAATGGTTAATGGTCTGTCTAAAATCTCTGATATTTCACAGCTCATGGTAACACTTTGCTTTAATTCTCTTTTATTTAAAGCTGATGTTACTCTGGTTTATAAAAAATGGGTCAATTCTCATCCCTGATGTTAAGAATTGTTTCTGTTTAGGAAATATCACCTGATCACCTTTTCTTTCAGTCCACCCTATGTTCTTCTCATGAACACACTTGGCGAGAACACGAGTCTGTAGTCTCATTCTAGTGAAATGAGAAACGCCGACACCTGATTCCTGAATCAGCGGCACACAGAGACAGTCGAGACTGATTTTAAAATAATCAACATCAGCCGTGCTTCAATCTCCAGTATTTGAGGCGGGGACTTTTCTACCGACACGCTAAATGTTCCACAAACAGGGACGTATGAAGGACAGTTGTGCCATAATCCATTCATAATGATTGTTTTAGTTAGAACCTTATGTTTCAGATAATTATAATCAACATTTCCTCCATCTTGAAGGCTGTGAACCTCATGGCTGTGCGTGCGTGCAGCCGTCTCCGTGGTTCCCCTCCAACACCGCTGCAGACCGTAGCGCCTGTAACTCCCCCCTCCCCCTCCTATTGCTGCTCCTCCAGATGACTCACCTATTCTGTGCAGTTTGACCACTGGTTTCCGGCTGAGGTCCAGCAGGCGGCGCCGCCGCTCCTCCTCCATCTTCTCCTTCAGCTGTTGCTCTTCCACACCAGACTGTATCTCTGCAGGTTCTGGTTGTTGCTCTTTAACCTGTAGAGGTTCTGGGTTTGCCGGGTCCTTCTCCACCTTTGGGGGTTCTGTTTGTTTGTTTTGTGCAGGTTCTGGTTCCTCCTGGTCAGCTGTCATCAGGGCAGGTTCTGGTTCCTCCTGGTCAGCTGTCATCAGGGCAGCTTCTGGTTCCTCCTGGTCCACTGTCATCAGGGCAGGTTCTGGTTCCTCCTGGTCAGCTGTCATCAGGGCAGGTTCTGGTTCCTCCTGGTCCACTGTCATCAGGGCAGGTTCTGGTTCCTCCTGGTCAGCTGTCATCAGGGCAGGTTCTGGTTCCTCCTGGTCTGCTTTCATCAGGGCAGGTTCTGGTTCCTCCTGGTCCACTGTCATCAGGGCAGGTTCTGGTTGTTGCTCTTTAACCTGTAGAGGTTCTGGGTTTGCCGGGTCCTCCTCCACCTTTGGGGGTTCTGTTTGTTTATTCTGTGCAGGTTCTGGTTCCTCCTGGTCCGCTGTCATCAGGGCAGGTTCTGGTTCCTGCTGGTCCGCTGTCATCAGTGAAGGTTCTGAATCTTCCAGGTCAAACCGTGGAGGTTGTGGTTCCTGATCTTTCCCTTTGATTAGCAGAGGTTCTGCTTCTGACCAGAAATCCACCACCACTGGGTAATGAGTTTCTTCCTCTTTCATCTGGACCGGTTCTGGACTATCCAGCTCCATCAGAACCTCCTCCTCCTCCTTATGAAGCTGTTGGAGTTCTGGGTCCAAAGGGAGAAACAATGAGGGTTAAAAGCTACAAACAAGCCTCAGATGATCAGAGCAAAACTATTTTCAACCCAAAACGGGTTTTTATTTGATCCATTTCAGAATAAAGGAGAATAAAACCCAACAGGAAGAGAGAAGATGAATAAAACTGATGTGTTTACAGTAAATATCTGACTGACAAAGTATTCAGAAAAAAACAGCAAACATTAAAACTAGTGATGTTATGAGATGAGCCGAGGCTTCGAGGCGTGTGTCGAGTAGTGGATGGGGCGTTTCCCCGAAGCGCGTGTCGAGGCGTGATTCAGACGTCCGAGGCCTCGCTACCGTGATACCATGTGACCGCTTCGGTATGTGGTTCAGGAAGCGCAAGAATTTTGACAGGCATCTAAACAGCTTTAGTGTTCAGTCAAGATGTGGGAGAATAGATTGGTTGTTTTTCCAACCAATCTAGTTGCTTAAAGCTAATTTGGTTTGAATAAACAATGTAAAGATCAAAATTTGAACAAACCACCAGAAAAAGCCATCTGGCGTCCTCTGTAAGGGACAGACTCTCACTCCAGAGGTTGATGGTTCAGACCTGTCTCTGTCATTTGAAAGATGCGATTAAACTTAATTATTTTGGCTGATGAGACGAATTTGCATTGTTTTGCCCGAGTAAAAATATAGATTGGGTAAATTAGATCGGTTCAGCCAAAAGATTGGTTGAACACAACTTCCAACCTGATTAAAACCAAAAAACATGGATAAACTATCATGTTTGAATAAAAATGACTAACACCTTTCATTTTGTGCATCATTGCCCAATTTGCACAAACACTTTCACTGTCTGCTTGAGTTTATTTCACTAAAATGGCAGAAAAACTGTGCACCTTAAATGATTGTTCTAAGAAATTTTACACTTAAAAAAAACTTACTAAATATTTTATTATACACACCAACCATTAACAATTTCAAGGGAACTTAAAAGGGGGAAAAAAGAAAAACAATTGCAAAAAAAATCACAGATTTTATTACGAACTGTAGTTCTGCCCTCCACCAGTAGGTGGTGACATGTTCACATGAAGCCTCATGAACTGTGGGGATCGTAGAAGCAACTTGGCCAAACAGTTCAATGCCTCATGAGGCTTCATCTCACCGTCACTAATTAAAACCCAAACCTCTTCATCCTCCATGGATTTTATTTATTTTTTATCAACAGTTTTAACCTTTAACATGACAGGCGCGCAGGCCTGACGCCCCTCGGTGTTTCGTACCTGTTGGTCTCTGGGTTATTTGGAGCCTCAGGCTGATCTCCAGCAGCCGGATGCTTTTCTCCACCTCGGAGAAGATTTCCTCCGCAGCAGCATCTAGTTTCTCCCTGATAAAGTGTCTGAGAAGCAGAACTGAAGCCATTGCTGCTGCGCAGACATTAAACTGATCCCAGACAGACCAAAGGCCGCGAGGAGCTGCTGGCTAACACGAGCTAACGGCTACTAGCTAACACTTAAAGAACGCGCGATTTGGCCAAGGAGAGGAAGTCACAAAATTCCACATATGGCGCTACGTCATTTCCGCTACGAATAAATCCCGGAAGTGTTACAGATTTTTCTCTGCAGTTTAAATACATGGTTGCTAATATTAGAGAGATTGAAAAATTTAGGCCTTGAATAGTTTGGATCAATGGTAAAAAAAATATATATATAATAATTATTTCAGTTTTTGGAGTTTTACTTTACAGCCAAGTCTCGTTGATCGTGCGCTACAAACTGGATTATCGCGAGATCCGAGTTTTCAGTCTCACAGCAAATAACGTAGAAATGAACTCAGTTTTTTTATTTTATTTCAACATTTACATGAAAAAATACTCTCATAGAGGATAACAAATGTGAACATGAACAGATAAAGATTAATTACAAGAAAGACAAATAAGTAAAACGCTTAACAGGGGATTTATCTCGGCAAACAATTAAAACAAACATGGACAGAGCCATAGAAATAATAGAAACAAAAAGGTGAATGCACTTAAAATAGCAGATGTTTGGAGCAATCCAGTCCCAACTGTTTGGCATATTTGTCATTTTTTTATCTTCTTAAGAGAAGAAAAATAGATTTTAAAGTCATTCATAAACCAATTAAAAGAAGGTTTAGAATTTCTCCATTTAGCGCAGTGGATATGATATTTACCGATCAGCAGGAGGACATTAATAGTGTAAGAAACAGGCTGGGGAAGATGGTCCATATAAAAAATAACATCATTTAGTGCAAAAGGGGGGATATCATTAATTTTCAGTCTTTCCAGAAGCGGTGTGTAGCGGGACAGAGGTAAAACATATGTTCAACGGTTTCACTATTATTATTACAACAAAAAGAACATTGATCCTCCTCAAAACCAAATCTTTTTCTTAGAAATTCTGCCACAGGATGAATTTTGTTAATAACTTTAAAATGTGAAATCAACAATCTGGGCAGTATTGGTGGGTAATTATTATTTAACCTAGAGTTTTTAATCAATTGAATTAAAGGCAGTGGAATTGATTTACACAGTTTGTTATATTCTCTTATAGAACACTTAACATTATATTTTTCTAAAAAATCTGAATAATTTATAATATCGCTGTTATCATCCAATAAATCAGTAACATAAATAATGTTTTTGTTAAACCATTCCTTTTTGAAGATAGATTTGCGGTTAATTGTTATTATTACCCTATTGTTCCATAGAGTTGAGCTATGGGGAGAAAAGCTATGGGTGAAAATCATTTTCCAATAATGCAAAATCTGCTTGTGGAAGTTGGACAGCTTGATTGGAATCCTGTTTATCTCAAAGTCACATTTTAGAATAAAGTCTAAACCTCCTAATTTATCAAATAATGATCTTGGAATCTGATGCCACATAGAATTCGGGTGCAGCATATAAGATTTGATCCAGTTAATTCTGAAGCTGCCAACCATTGATTCTGGATCTGGAGCTTTAATACCACCTTTATTATATTCTTTCACCAACTGAGATTTTTTTATGTAATGTGTTTTATTCCTCCATAAAAATTGAAAGATTATTGTGTTTGCTTTACTTATGTTTTTAGAGGATATAAACAAGGAGTGGCAGAGATAAATCAGTTTGGAAATTCCTTCAGTTTTGGACAGAATATTCATGCCAAATATGGTAAGGTCTCTTGTTAACCAGTGACTAAGGCCTTTTTTCATCTAAAATACGATTTGAAATATTTGTATCTTCTCTTCTAATTAAGTTTTTTGATATTGTCAGTCCTAGGTGTTTAACTTCAGTTACAACTTTGATAGAAGCAACTGAGGTATCATGACATTTTTTATATTAAGAGATAAACCAGACGCAACAGAGAATATGGAAATAGTACTTAAAGCTACAGTGTGTAATTTTTAGCGACATCTAACGTCCAGACTGCAGACCGCAGCAACATGAACATCTCCCCCCAACAGTACGGCGAGCGTTACGGGACAAAATGTCTTCCACGACGTCCGCATCACCTACCTTCTCAAGTGATGAGGTTTGTTTACATAGATAATTTTAATACTGCCATCTATTGTTCAGTACCGTCTCAGTTCATCTCTCTCAACTTGCCCTAGTTACCTTCGAGCGTAATGGGCGATCTCGCAATCGCTAGTTTGTTGGCTCTGCGCTGCCGTAGCGCAAAGATGTCTGCCTCCATGGCTGCGAGACCCGCTCCTATGTAATTATAAATAACGAATTCTAAGGCAACGCAAATATTAAGGTTAAGAGGCTGAGCTCGTAGATGATGATAAATAACATAGTTATGTATAATATATTAGATTTCTGACTGTATATCCCTGTAATTATTACACACTGTAGCTTTAAGGCTTTATCTATCATTGATTTATCTTTTAGAAAGATACAGGGATCATCAGCAAATTGGCTTATTCTAAATTCTCTATCAAAAATTGTGATACCTTGTATGTGATTGGAGTTTTTAATTAACAAAGCTAGCAGTTGTGTCGCTAAGATGAAAAGCTTTGAGGAAATGGGACAACCCTGTCCGATTCCACATGAAATCTCAAATGCAGGCGTTAATCCCGGGTTTAGAGAGACCATGCTACTGATGTCAGTGTAGAGGATTTTAACTATGCCACAGAATTTGCTTCCAAAACCAAGGAAGTGTAAAGTTTCAAGCAAAAAGGAATGTTCCAGTGATTCAAAGGCTTTAAAAAAGTCTAAGAATAATATGTAGCTATTTGTAGGAATAAAGTCTCTATAATCTAACAGGTTAATGATTAGTCTAATATGGTTATGTATAACTCTACCTTTCACAAAGGCTGATTGACACTCATCCACTAGTTTTGATAATCCCTTATCCAATCTATTAGAGTAGATGTGAGCTAGCATTTATAGTCGTTGCATAGTAGTGTTATTGGCCTCCAATTATCTAAAAACAAATTTTCTTTATTGGGCTTTGGAATTAGCGTTATAACACCTCTTTTCATTGGAGGGGACAGCTGACCCAATGAGATACATTCAAGCAGGGCATTATAAAGCAGTAGTCTGATATTATTCCAAAAATAGATATAAAACTCTACTGTTAAGCCATCCAGCCCAGGGAATTTTCCTTTTGACATTTTTGTCATTGCTAAATCTAGCTCTTCAATTTTGAGGTTGTCATCCATAAGCTGCTTAAAATGTCCATCAATTTTTTCCCCTATATTTCCCAATTTTTTCAAAAAATATTTGACAGTGTTCTACTAAAAATTTGGTTGTATATAGTTTTTTATAAAAGTTTCTTATTTCCTCGTTAACTTTATCTTGGTTATCAATACTTATATTATCAATAAGTAATCTATTTATTTTCTTTTTAGCTTGTCTTTGTTTTTCCAAATTAAAGAAATAGGAAGTATTTTTTTTACCTTCTTCGAGCCAGCGGGCTTTAGAGCGTATAAATGCTCCCTTTGCTATCTCTAAATAAAGATTGTCCAATTGAGTTTGAAGACTATTAAATTCAGCTTGTTCCTCTAAAGATAAGTCTGTTTTACCCAATCTGTTCATATTGTTTATAAGGTCCTGTTGTTTTTTCTTTTTCATTTTAGAGATATTTTTACTCCTAAGAATGGCAATATCTTTAATTTTGAATTTAAACCACTCCCACTTATTTAAATGAGACATTTCTAATTTTTCTATTTCAATCAGTAGATTTTTAGTTTCGTTACAGAATTGCTCATTGTCTAAAAGGCTGTTATTAAATTTCCATAAAGAAAATGGAACCCTCTTTGTCCTGCCAAAGTGGAAGGAAATTAAAATGCCACAGTGGTCAGTTAAGGGTGATGCTAATATTTCACAATTATGGACTGCATTTACCAGGTTGGTAGAAATTAACCAATAGTCTAACCTTGAACATTGGCCATTATTGGCTGAATTATACCATGTGTATTGTTTAGTATTAGGCTATTTCATTCTCCAGTAGTCAATCAGATCTGTTTCCATGATGAATTCCCTTATAATTTCGTCATAAGTGTGGCTTAGAAAACTGGATGGAAATCGATCCAACCAGAGGTCGGGAACCAAATTAAAATCACCCCCAGAAATAACTTTGTCAGTAGAATAGGCCCTTTTCCATTCGTCCACCGTCTTACTCAAGGAAGCATAAAGATGTTTGTTTTGTAACCTTCTGTTATACCCATAGACACAGATTAATATATAGTTTACATCATTAAATTCAATCACCATCATTATCCAGTGACCATTGATGTCACTTATGTGGTTTATCACTTTTCCAGAAAACCTGTTGAACATAATCATTACTCCAGCTGAGTGTTAAAGGAATAGTACACCCAAAACATGATTAGCCTTCATTTTCTACTCACCCCCATGCTGAACAACACTCTGGAGTACTTTTTTGATATCTCAAATGCATCTGGAGATCTGGGAGGCTTCTTGCTGTCTGCTGACATTCAAATAATGGAGGTCTATGGCGCCCGAGGCAGAAAGGTCCATAAAAGTCCACAAAAAACGTGTCAATATTCCTCCATACTGCTCGTCCAATGTATTCCAAGTGTCCTGAGTGGGTAGCATCCAGAATTTACTCGAAACGAAGTCATTTAGAATGTTTTTAGAGCATAAACAGTAGTGTATAGGACTTCCTGAAAGCGCGCGCCAGCGCGTTCACGACGCTACGGAAGCCGCGGCAGACCAAACTGGATGAAAGTGCACATAGGCTAGGTAAAAACAGGCATTCGGCCCTCTAAATTGAGAAGACAACAAATTAAAACAGAGCCATTCTACAGATAGAGAAATGCTAATAGAATAGACAACCATTATCTGTTCTAGGTTTTGTCCCTCTCTTCTTGTCCCTTTTCTTAGCCTAGTATTGCCTGATGGTAAATCCCCCTTAGTATGTAGATTTCCTGTTTATAATACAGTGGCCCTAAAGGGTCATAGATTCCTGCATATAGAGTCATGTTTGACTCTATAAGCAGGAAATGTTTATATGTATGTTTTCAAAATGGGCCAATGGTTGAAAAGCATATTATTGTCCCAAACCAAACATGTGTGAAGATTTCTAGTTTTTAATTAAAACTATTAAAAGTCTTTTTCAATTTCTTCTTCATGTGAAACAAAAATCTACCAGAAGCAGAGAAGCTGTGAGTCTGTTAATCAGGAGGAAGAGGAGCTGAGAGCTTCAGGGAGGAGCTGAGCTGTTACTGAACTATAGAAGAGACACAAACTTCCACATTCAACACAGTTCAAACATTAACTCTGATCATCATGGACTATTATGGACTTTCTCTGCTGGTCGCCTCACTGCTAACAGGTCAGATTCTAGATGTTTCAAATGTTTTTGTTCTGAAATGTCAGAAATGTTTCTGAATCAAAAACTAAAACTCATTTTTCTTCAGGAATCCGCTGTGAAGGACTGACTGCGGTTAAAACAGAGATCTCCAGCTTAGAGGGCAGCTCTGTCACTCTGTCCTATAATTATCCCAACCTGCGATCTGGAGATTATTTCTTCTGGTACCGTCAGTATCCAGGAGAACCTCCAGAGTTTCTGATCTCTCATGGTGATAAAGGAAATGTTATAGCAAAGGTGATTTCCAAACTTCAGATTCACATAGAAAACAAACGCCTGGACCTGCTGATCTCCTCTGCTGCAGTGACAGACTCTGCTGTGTACTACTGTGCTGTGAGGCCCACAGTGACAGGAAACACCAGAACTCTGTACAAGAACCTGCAATACTCCACTACATCCACTAGAGGGCCTCACACACTGTTCCTCCTCTATGGTTTGTTAGGATTCAGTCTGATTGTTTGTGCAGCTGAGAATAAAGCAGACATCAGAGTGTTTGCTGCATCATTGAGCTCTTTATGATGAGAAGGTTTGGATCATAAAGGAGGGATGATGGAGGCTCCAGGTTGGAGGTGCAGCCTCTGCAGGACATCAGCACCATGGACAGAGTTCTGTTCCACCATCTAGATGTGTTTCAGTCCAGTTCTGTCCTGCTGTCAGACCACTGATCTTCTACATAGAGATTTATGTCCACAGGCTAAAACCTCATGATGCATTCAGGTACATACTGTTCATTAGGAAGTATAATTTGGGACACTTGCATAATCATTTTATTTTCACCTTTTCAAAATCTCATAGTTTACCTGTTTATTATATTTTTTGCTAAATAATCAAATCAAATCTTCAGTTATTTCCATTGTTGGGAATATATCTTTTATTTAGCACTTGTAGCTTTAAATACAACAGTGAATCAGTTTTCAAATATCAATCTTTTAGTAATAATAGAATAGCAGTGGTGTCAAAGGTACACACATTTGTTACTTCAGTAGAAGTATAGATACTGCAGTTTAAAAACACTCTGGTAAAAGTTGAAGTATCAACTTGACCTCTTTACTCAAGTAAAAGTGATAAAGTATGTGCTCCAAAAACTACTTAAAGTATAAATGTATAAAGTAACCTTAAAAAAAAACAGCCAGTTGCCACAATATGAATTGAAAGCTCATTTTTTTGACTAATTCTAAAGATTCTCTGAGCTAGGGCCAAGGATGAGGGAGGTCTTGTTGGTCTCCATCTCCCGATACGCTCTCGTCTGTGTCTGACCTTTCAGACATTTCAACATCTTTTTCTGAATCCAACATTGTAGCATGGCATAGACAATTCACGTTAGCAGTTTGAAGAACACCTGCTTGCTTCTGATGATTTCCTTTAGCTAACCAATGAGTGTTTGCGTTATACGACTCATCCAATCACACTAGTTTTCACTAGATATGGATGGAGCCAAAGATCTGCATTGGATGGAGCACATGACGTGAAATAAAGATTTAGAAACATTAAACTGAAGCCAAAAGTAACGAGTAACGTTTGTTTTAAAAATGGAAGGAATAAAACGTGAAAATGTAATGAGTTTAAGTCAGAAGTAGGAAGAGAAATAAGTAATGCAGTAAAGTATAGATAACTAAAAAGTGTACTTAAGTACAGTAACAAAGTATTTATACTTTGTTACCTCTGTAGAATATATAGAAAGTTGTTTCTATTTTGTCTGTGTTTTATTTTTTTTTTCATTTGCCTTGTTAGTTGACTAAAAAATACAGACATTAAAAATGATCCCTTACCATTCTGTATCTTCAGAAGAGCCCAAGCTTCAAACAGGCAGCTGGACCTGATGAGCCGTTCAAATGGAATCAAAAGGTGCAGCAGTGGACCGACCCTATAAAGCTGAGGGTCAGCTTCATGAAGCAGGTTTAACAAACTCAGATTAAATCCTCAACTCTAAATTGATTTAGCCTGAAGTCAGGAATTCTGAGTTTTCGGTGTAACAATAGCTGCTATGAATTAGTTCAATCAACTCTAAGTAGGTCCATTCAGAGTTAAATGCGTGCATGACAAGTTTAATAAGCCATGATCAGTGGAGCCCCTCAGTGATGAGTTACCATGACAACAAGCCAGCAGAGATCTGCATATTTCATATCAGTAGAACTGAAAGTTTTAATGCAGGCATACTGCGGGTTTGAGCACATTTTGAAGAGAAAAAAAAACACGTCGACAGCTGTAAAGGAGTCCGCTGTCCGAGTTAATGCCTAAGTTTATATGAAGACGATCGTAATCATGATAACATTACGGGGAAAACAAATTTTTTGCCTTAACGGTAATTTATCAATGTATTCTATTTAGGTATTGACCCACCGGGATGAAGCACACCTGGCAGCAGGTGAAAATGAAATACAAAAATGTAGTTCAAACAGGTAGGAGCTGTTCATCATCTCATGGGGTTCCTCCTCATTTTAAATTTGTGTTACATTACACAGTAAATACTAAATGGATATTTGACTATGCTTTTTTAAATTTCCTTTTTTTCATCTCACCCTTTGTGCTCTCACTGATATCGAGTTCTAGGAATGGAAATGATCAAAACTATCAGACCTCTTCAGTGAACACAAAGAAGGCCGATGCCTGTAAAGCCGGTGGTGGTTGTTCACCACCTCCACCACTAACCAAGGCAGAGGAGCCTGAATGCAGGAAGGCCAGATGCTGAGGGAATCCCTGGTGGGAGCTCATCCTGATAGACCTCCTTCCAAGACACAGGTGTGGGATGCCTCAAATTCTACTAGAGGGCCTCACACTCTGTTCCTCCTCAATGTCTTTCAGTTTTTGGTTTGTTTGTTTCAGCAGAGATCAAATTCATTTATTCCATTTATACAAGAGTTCAACAGCTGTCACCTAAAGCGACTTAAGAAAAACATGTCATTAACGTTAAATAATTCAAGACAGATTTATTGTCCGTTAGTAAAAAATCCACTATGTTCCATGTAGCATTTAACTACAGTTTATTATCTTTATGAACTGCTTTGGAATTTGTCTTCCTCCTGAAACTGTTTATAGTTGCTATAAATGATGCCATACAGGAGATTATAATAATTCAAAGGCTGATTCCAGTCTGTTTCTCTGATTGTATTTTAAAAGTTAGAACTAACTCTGGGTTATTATTAGTCATATTTCATGAAAAAAAGAATGGGAACTGTTTTTGCTGAGCTTTTTCACAGCAATATCATATTAAGGTCTGACATCCCTGACATTTGCTCCTTCCTCTGGTCTTGGACTGAAATTAACAACCAGTTTAGTGACTCACATGCCCACTATCATTTCCCATCAGTGGTCACTAACCTGTGTTTGTACCACTACAGAGACTCCAGTCATCTATTCCAAGCTGACGAGCCAAAGATGCCAGAGCATTTAATAAACACTTTTTATGAATCACTTCAGTCTGTCTGCCGTAATTCTCGGTCCAACGTTCTGAGTCCTGACACTAAATGTTTTTGTTTAAAACTAGTTTAAAAGAATGTGAGACTCTAACGTTAACTTGGGCTGCAGACCATTACACCATGGGTCAAAATAAGACAGATTCCTCTTTCCTAATTCTGCGCACAATAGGCACCTAAAACTGCACCGGCTACTGACCCTGAGACTTGAGGTGTTCTGTAGTGCAGCACATTTGGACCAAATATATAATGGAAATATTGCTAAGATTACTTTGACTACTAAAACTTACAATGACTCATTTTATGTGTTTTTCAAATCTGAAAATGTTGTAAAAAGAACAATAATTAGTTCTTAAACATTAGCCTGTTACATCTTTGAGCAGTAAATTAAATAGTGTCCAGTTAAGCTACAGTGTTTTCAGCCTGGTAACTTCCACATACAGAAGATAAACTAAGAACTAGTATCTTAGATTCAAACACTTCCCTTACTATTTCATGACACTGGAAGAAAATATCTGGAGGAGACCATCCAAGAGAGTTAAAACTTCATGAGCATTTTCTCCCTGTTGATTGAAATCCAGAAAATAATCATAAATATTTTTTTTTTATTTTTTCTCCTTAGGTCTTTAAATTTGATATCAGCTTTTCCATTTACTTAATTTTTAAAGTCAGCTAGAAAGTCTGATTGTTTTCTCACTTTGGAAAATATAATCAGTTTATGCAATCAGACAAAATGTTTTTTTTTCTGCTTTTATCTCTCCTCATCTTACTTTTTGAATCTATAAACCCAGAAATGTATCCTGATGTCTGGGATCTTTTCAGACTTTTGGAGCTCAGAAGATGTTTGCTTACTGAACATGACCATTAAAATACTACAACATGTTCAAGAAATGCCACCTGTGGACATTTAGGGGCCTTTCAGAGGACATCCTTTGAATAATGACAATATGGGAGCAAGGTTCTCTAACTTCTGGTCCTCTTGCGAACATTTGTCCTTAATTTTCCAGTAAGGTTGATCCAAACTTATAACAATTATAAAAAAAAAAAGTTTCCAGAAAGAAAGAAATAACACTTGTCAAAGACACTATTCAATGCAAATGTATTTATTTAGGACATTTCTGTTGCAAGACAATTCAAAGCACTGAACATGTAAAGCCATAATAAAAACACAGTGAAAAGTACATTGCAGCTGTGAGAAGTTAATCAAATTACTAATGACTATGAATAATTAAAGAGAATTACAGTGTACAATAGAAAAAAAAAAGCTGGACTAAAAATTACACTAACTACTAATGTTTAAAAAGCATAGTCAAAGGCCACTATAAACAAACTTATTTTTCATCTGGTTTTAAAACAGTTTTGGGTTTCAGCATGTTCACACTTCTTGGGGAGTTTAATCCAGATTAGAGCATAAGAACTTGAAGTTTCTCCACGTTTGGTTGTGGTAATGCAGATTAAACCTGAACCACTCTGACCTGAGAAGTCTGAGTGATTGATAAACTACAGCAAGTCTGTATTGTTTGTTGGAGGTAAGTCATTCATTGTGTTACAGACTAACAGAAGTATTTTAAAGTTTGTTCTCTGAGATATGGAGAGCCAGTATACCAATTTTATCGCTGATTTCATGTGCTCTACTTTCCTTCTTTGGTGAGGACGTGGGCAGCAGCATTTTGGATCAGTTGCAACCGTCTGATCAAACCTTCACGGCGACCTCTGTTTTTAACTAAAGATGAATTATTTTTGTCTTTCTTGTTAAGACATTAGTCTCAAAAGTCTGTGAGTAAAACTTTCTCCTCACATATTTCAGTAGAACTGCTTCTTATCCTTGTGAGTTATGATATGTGTAAAAAGATTTACTATTAAAGCTTTTTCTGTAGGTTAGGCAGTCAAAGGTAATCCATCTGTATAATTTCACATGTACTCTTTCAAATAAGTTATTCTTTTGATTTTTTATCGGTTCCACTTCTGACAATAATGCTGGTAATTCATCTAATTTAATGTAATTTCGCTTTGGTCCTTTCACCCTGATTACTTATTCACTCCACCTGTGCAGCCCCGCCTCCTCTCATCAGCATTCAGGTTTTCCACCTGCACCCCTCCCTATTTAACCACTCTTTAACCAGCCACAGTTGCTGTATTATCCTTCTACTCCTGATTGTCTGATCCTTACCTTACTTTTGCTTCATTGTTTCCTTGCCTCTGCCTTGCCCTCAATGGATTAAACTGAGCTCTCTGATTTCTGAACACCACCCCGGTTTTTGCCGTCTGACCAACTAGTTCTCTTTTTCTCCTGGGTTTCCAAGATGGAGAATCTGCCTCAAAGTAACTTCCTGAGTTGTTTTGCTGTGACTCTTAAGTTCCGTCTCGTCATTCCAACACATCCTGAGTAGACTAGTGGTTTATGCTCTTTGATTTTTCTGATATCTATTATTCTGTTTGGACTCTTTATCTCTCTGACCCCTAGATTCAACATACTCTGTCAGCGCTCCGCTCCGCCACACTGACGTACGTTGTGCGGAGCGCTTGTCTTTCATGGAAATCAATGAGAGCTGTTCCACATCCACCGCTGCTCCTCCTCACGTCTCCGTCCACGTACGTCTTCTCCGTCCGTCACCGACAAAATACGGAGCCGAGCTATTTTTTTTTCTCCGCTCCGGTCCGGCCGGGTCAAGATCCGCAATTGCAATTGCAAACCAAACAGGAAAAAGAACATAGAGAAATTCCGCTTCGTCAAATTAAAATATAGTAGCAACAGATTATAGCATAATTCTTATATATTCCAAAAAAACTAACACCGTTTATTTAAATGATTGGATCCAAACTATTGGTTATTAACCCACCAGGAAGCAAATTTCTCATCTCCATCAAAATATTTATTTTATACCGAGGGACTTAAAGTTTAATCAAATCCATTCAAAAGAAACTTCTTATTGCAGGAATGAAAAGAGATGCTGAGTTTGGGAGTAGAGAACAAGTTCATTAAAAAAAAGCAGTTTTGAATTATCCTTATCCCCGTTACAAAAATCTACAACAAAAAAAAAATATTTGGGCAGAAACTGAACATATGCTGGATGATGGTGGGATTTTTTTAATATGTCATATTAAATTAAGCGCTCACAGGGTTCATACAGGAATGAGTGACTCTAATTTAATGCTATTTAAATGCTATTAGAAATGATTTTAATGCCATCAACAAGAACCATGTACACAAGTTATTAGTGTACATGAAATATGAAGGAGCTGCAAGCAGAGTTCCATGACTCCTGTATGTATGTAAACACACACATATATATATATATACGTATATATATATCCTCTAGCTTTTTCTCCGCCTCGAGCATCCTTTCCGAACATACGGCTTTATGATCAGTTCCACGCAAATTAATCGTGATATAACATATCTGAAGAAATTGTTTTTACAAGATTTTTTATTAAAGAATTATAAATGCCACGATAAACATATTTAATAAATTTTAGAGTCAATTAAGGCCTTAATTAAAAAAAAAAATGAATTAATTGTAATTATTTTTAATGATCCGCGGAAACCCTGGTTCATCTGGCGCATGCCCTCTATGATCTCCAAGGAACTCAGAGCGGAGCGGACGGGAGCCACAGCGGCGGCTGTAGGCTTTGCTTTGCGCAAGCGGTCTGGAGCGCAGCGGGACGGAGCGGAGCGGAGCACTGACGGAGTATGTGGGATTAGGGGGTGATTGTGAGGCCTTTTGATTATTGTTATCTTTGGATACAGGTTCTCAATTTCCTTGCAATCCTGAGATACTTAATTTACAGGAGTCACCATGAATGTATCTCCATTCTCCTTCCTCAGAACAAGCTGCTCCTCATTCTTACTTAAGTTGAGCTCCGTTGCTTCCTCTCTTGTCCAGGGATGTTCTGGCTGTTGCTGCTCTTCTCTCATCTACAGAGCTTCTGGTTCCTCTTGCTCCAAACTGGAATTCCACATCTGTTTGCTCCAATACATCTGTATTCTGCTCCTCACGATAAGAACTGAAATATTTAAAAAGAAGGAAAATACTTTGATATTCTTTTAAAATTATGTTTGAGATGTTGTTTTAATTTCTTCTTTTCACTAAGAGTAAAAGTAAACTGAAGCTTACCATGGTTTGAATGAACTTCTGAAGCAGATTTTGTAAAAGATCCAACCAAGAATAAGACTAAAAAACACTATAAAGACTATAAATCTAATAGCCAAAGCTTCCAAAGGGATGGTAGCCTCTGAAACATAAATACAATGTGTCAATATTAGATATTATAAAGAGCAAAATAATATGAAATTAAAGAAGAACGCTGCAGAAGTGGTGAAATCCCACCTTTAACATCCAGAAACACTTCATTTGTCCCCTGTAGCTCATTCCACTGTGTCTGATAGCATTTAGATGGCAGTAAGAGGCAGCTATAATGACCCACATCCCTCTTGACTGCTCCATCAATGGTGAAAGAGGCCTCCTTTAGAGCTACATTAAATACTTGCAACTGAAGGAACGTCTGATTCTTCTTCAGGCAACAGTAGATGAGTTGGCAGTTGTTGATGGTGTGCAGGGTTTCAGAAAAGGTGCATTTGAACTCAACACTGTTTCCCTCACGAACTGTGGAGGGTCCAGCTATAGAGAGGACTGCTGGGATGAAATGGGCTGAAAACAGTTGGAAACATCAGCAAAGTGAAAACCTCAGACAAAAAAAAAAAGCTTAATGTGTGATTAGTGAGAATAAACAATGCTTACCTATTACTAGAATCTCAACCTCATCATGTCTCATCCCTGCTACTTCAGAAAGGTCATGAGTTTCGGTGGAATAAAAACAGCTGTAATTTCCACTGTGATCCAGACTAACGTTTGATATTTTAAACGTGACATCATTCAGATTCTGTTTCATTGTCATTTTCAGAAATCCACTTCCATCTTTTAGTAAATACACCAAATTGGAGGGTTTTATCTTTTGCCCGTGAATGCTGCAGGTTACATAAATGTCACTGCCTTCGCTCACAGCTCTCTGTCGCGCTAGGATCTTTAAAGGAGAAAAATCTGAACAAAAGAAACAAACAAATGAAGCTTAATTAGTTTCTTAAATAGAACAAGCGTCCTTATTTAAAGAATTTGTTGGTTCTCACCATTGGTTTGGCTAAAGACCTGATTTAGGAAAATGCCTTAAAGACAGAAAGGTTTCAATCATGTTAATCTTAAATCTGCAAAAATATCTGACATATTGATTCTGTTTTAGTCTGCAGTCAGTTTACTTACAGAAAACAGCAGCTATTATATTCATCTTCAGCAGCAACCCGATGCTCTCACAAAACTCTTTGTTCAAGCACCTTTCCACTCTTTTCTACCCCCCAAGATGAAGTGGGCAGGACCTATACACCCCTTCCTGATTGTCCCCTTGTGTTCTGCATTTCATCATTGCTTTTTTTGTTGTTTTTTTTTACAAGAAAGTTACCTGACTTATCAGGGTTACGCTGCAAAGAAGCTATGAGTTTGAGTTATATAAATGTAATAATTATTAAAGCCATAGCATTAAAACGTTCAAAGTGAATTTTTCAGTCCAATAGTTTTTTATTTGTTTTATGTGTTTAAATGGCTTTGGCCATCTCAGAAAATTCACAGCCTTTGGTGGCTTATACTTCTCTTAGGTCAGCTGATGTTTCTACTTTTGTCACTACAGAAAACCAAACACAATCTGAGAAAGAACATCTTGAATTATTCTGAGCCGTCTCAGTAGCTGGTCCTAGGCTCTGGGTGATATGCTGCTCTATGTTAGACAGGATTTGTCTCTGGTCAGTTTTAAATGTCTTTTATAAAAAATATTTAGATTTTGATATTAGGTTGTTGGTTTATGTTGATCATATGCTGTTTTATCGTAATTGCATGTATTTCCTAATTTCCTTAATATACAATACTTATGTTTTGCTTTTTTCTCTACAGAACATTGGTCTGTATATGTAAATGTGCTTTATAAATATTGGTGGATTGAATCAGACTGGGAGGCTGCTGATTTTCTATGTGCAACAAGTCTGCAGACATTAAGGACATTTAGTACCTGGTCTTCAAAAGGTTAGCAAGTATTAAAAAACATCCAAATTATTTGCATATGTGAGGCTGATATTCGTAGTAGGTACAAAAAGATTTTCTCAAACTGAGTAGATTTATGGGTGAAGGGTATACAAATGAAATACATCAGTTTATTAAAGAATGATTAAAAGTAGTTGTAGACATTTTTGGACTTTCATAAACAGTATTCAATGATAAATAATAAATAAAAATATGTGAAGTTATTTATCTTAACGCAAACATACCAGGGTATTTATCTTATGTCTATTCTTTTACAGATTCTGTACCAAGAACAATTATGAATAATAAAAATTATGAAAATGATTATAGGCTTACCTTGGTTAACAATATATTGGATCAAATATTAGTTTTTAGACATTAGTGGATGTAAACCCAGCTGTTTAGAGTATGATCTCAAAGACAAGTTTACCGTGTTTTATGATTTTCATAAAAACCTTTTGCTTTTGTTTAATTTGTAAAGTGCATTATAAATAATATGTATTATTATTATCATCATCATTTATAATTACCTCCATTTCCATGAGTTTTTTTTAATGGCAGCTCTTAAACTGCATGTAGAACATGTGATGTCCTCATTTTAATTGGGCTGAACTGGTTTTGCATGTCTGTGTTTAACGTGCAAACTTTGTGATCAACCATAACACAACAACTGAGCAATCATTTCTATCAATGCAGTAAGTACTTAATTTGATTTTAAGATGATCAGGCTGTTAGTCTTTTTCCCCATGTTAACATCCTTTCTACAGAGAAATGATATCATGTTCAACAACAAAGTAAAGAAGCAGATCTAATAACACAGAGGAAACCTGTTTATTCTCCGCTGAGAACATAATTTTCAATGCCAGCAAAATCTAAATCTACTAAGCTGACCATCAGAGAGCTAACCCTGGCAGACACAGCTCTCTACTACTGTGCTCTGCAAACACAGTGATACAAAGTGTAGAAGAGGCTGTACAAAAAGCTGAACACTGATATCTGACTCCTCTTCAAAGAGGAGGGAAGTGGTATTCAAAGCTCAGCTTCATATCAGATGGATTCTGCTAATTCCAGTTTGATCAGAGTCACTGTGGTTACAGCTGCTAATCAGACACTGTGGGAGGATCCACAGGAGCAGAGACTCAGCAAGTCTATCACACTGATGGAGGAGAGAAAACTAACATGGAAAGACCCTAAATACCTGCTTCCATTTGTTAAGGTCAGGTTATTGAAATGCGATTGTCCCCAGACAGCATGTAGATCCAGACTTCATTTGTTTTGGTCTCACCAGATCTGCATACAGTCAGAAATGGTGTACAGAGCTGAAATAGAAATGTGCCGGGAGCATGAGTTGTCTCAACATACAGTATGCCAAAAGACGTGGCCCTGATCCTATCCTAAACCATACTATTATAATCTTCTATTCTTCATTTTCTTTCTGTTCTTTTTCACTATTTATTTATTTTGTTCTGGTTTTGCTGTTAAGATTTATCTGATTTTGAGTTACTTCTTAGTATGCCTCTATTTTTTTCAGGAATCTCTTTTTCAGCCTTCTTGTGATTTTTTTGCTCTTTACTCTAGTTTTTCATCATTTTTTTTTACAGTTATCCTAAGATTATGTTTTCCACAGCATTATTGTCCTCTTGAAATATCCTTATTCGCTCTCAATCTGCAGGTTTACCATTGGTTCCTAGAATGGGAAGCAGGTATTTTAGTGATCAGGCTCCTGATAACCAAACTTGTGGAACCAACTACTACCGTATTTTAACGACTATAAGGCGCACTTAAACATCTTTTTTTTCTCTCAAAATGTGCGGTGCGCCCTTTGGTGCGGTGCGCCCTATGTGTGTTGTAACTGCGACTTTTGAGACCACCTCATTGAGGAGATGATGAAAGAGTGGCTGAATGTAAGGAGACCAGGTGTTTTTTTTCCACTCATCACCATCGCTGTTAATATGTAACTCCATGCGTGCCCATCTCACAGCTGATGTGAAAAACATAGGGAAACAAATTAACGCTGTGCTCGCTGTTCAACCGCTCCACATCGGTGTGAACCGGACCCAGCAGGTGCAGCAGAAGCAGCGAGTTTACATGCAAAGTCAATGGTTGACGCGCGTATAGGCGCAGCAAAAGGTCCCGCAGCGCGTTTTGAGCAGCAGGCACAGCGCGTCGGGAGCTTTTAAGCATCTGACGCACCGCCAACGCGCTGGAAAAATTTAAGTTTTGCTGCTGGACGCGCCGCATCAACCAATCAGAGAAACTGATCTGGGAGTGTGGTGGTTTTCAATGATAGAAAATCAAAAATCAGGACACCTTCAGTTGATCATCTGATTGCCCCAGGACGGGAGAAAGAAGCGTTTATTTCAAAGATCAAATTGACATGCTGTCCTCAGTACACGTAACACAGCGCTGAACATTTCAACAGAACACATCTGGCTTTTTTCTCAACTCCCATTCAAATCTGGGCGTTTATATAGTTTCAACATTGCACTGTGTGGATGTATGTGCACGACTGGACGCTCTGATAACATTTCCTGGAAGTTCTTGGCTCGTGACCGGATTGCGTGCGAGTGGGCCTAATGATTTTGTTTTTCAAGGCTTGTACTCGGCTTATCGCCTGCGAACACATGTTTCCTGCCATTGTTATTGCCAAAATGTGTACCTGGCTCCAAAACTGCTTGCTCTGTGTTCTCTATTATTGTGAACTTAAGGTCACGATGACCTGAGGCAACACAATTCGCTTCTACATTCCCTCCTGTAGTTCATTGAAAATGAAGTACTAATGAGAATTTGCATAGTGATGGTAATATTACGCAGCTAAGTGCACTTACGTGTATGTGAATTTCAAATGAAACGGTATCTAAGTGTTACCGACGCAGCCCAGTATGGATGCAAGTTGAGAAAAACAAATTAAATGTCATGATTAATAACAAAACTAAAGTAAATAACAAAACAAAGTGAATATTACTGAACCTTCAAAGAAAGATCATCATTTTCCACATGGCCATGATTCGATTAGTATGGGATCGAAAACCCCTTTTTCGTCCTGTGGGCATCTTACTCTTTCATTTCAAACTCATGTAAGAGGAAACTATCCCATCGACCCATGCTTCCCCCAAACATCCATCCTTCCTCCGGCGTCGGCCGTAGCACAAATCGCATCCTGACCATGCTACTCATGATGATCTGTGAAACCAACACTGTTTGAACCATTCAACCCAATCTTGATATTACTTAATATGTGAAGGATAACTATTCAAAACATTTCAAATAACTCGAACTTAGTTATAGTGTATTGTAGTATATAAGGCTAGGTAAATGAAAGAAAAAGAAAAATTAAGTAGGTCAGTCGGTCAGTAGTCTGAGTCCCCAGTCCTCTAAACAGCCGCCCATGTATATCTTACCATTTAAAATAATAAGACAGTAATACAGATTGTAATGCAGAATAATAAGGCATAATACAGAGTATAATACAGGATAATGGAACGTTACATCATCAAGATTATTTTACTGAATACAAAATGTTTAATGCTGGTAATTTCTTCTTATCTGTGAAAAATCAAAAATATAGTTCTTTCACTTCAGGGACTTGTCCCTGGCCTTCAAAGCATGAACACAGGAGCATGCGTTCACGCCTTCAGCATTCTTGCAGCGGCTGTTAGATGGTTCATAGTTGAGCAGTCCCTGGTCCCGGGTCGGTCGTCATCCATTTGTAAACCGTCATCGTTATCCATCTCCTCATAATAGGCAAGATGCAACACACAAGCAGAAAAAACACAATCAGTGTAATTGTCACAATTACCCCAGTCTTAACTGCAAATGTTCCCCATTCCCCTAAAATTTGCTCCAGGCTCTTTAAGGACAAACCACTATGGCCAGCATTTTGTTGCATTTCTATTTTTAGCTTGTTTAGTTTAGTCAATACAGTGTGAAAGGTTCCTGTTGGTGCAGTATTCAAAGGTATGTAAGTACAGCATTCGGTACCAATAAGATGACAAACTCCTCCCATTTTGGCCAAAATATAATCTAAAGCTTGTCTATTTTGAATTGCCATTCTACTGGTCTCATGTAATTGGTCACCTATTGCCATAAATCCTTCCACTGTGAAGTTAACCATTCTTCACTCTTCATTAAGTTCACACCTAAAATAGGAATCACAGAAAATGAAACAATGAACCAGACACCGAGCCAGCAATGAAAGCTTGCAATTGAAATCACAAAAAACAATAGATCTTTGTCTGCACTTTAAGTTCACACCATGGAGCGCTATGTTCAAAAGTTATTTACCACACACAATATCTTCATAAGGTTAAAAAAAGAAAAGCGAACCAAGCT